GTTCACCCTCCAATGGCCGCCGTGGCCGGCGTGCTGCGGCCGGCGCACTGCGCTGATCCGATGGCAGGAGCCAGGTGCTTCTCCTGGTCTCCCATGGGGTGCAGGGCGTAAGTACTTGGGCCGTCCTCCACTGCACTCGCGGGCCACAGCAGAGAGCTGGCCTGGAAGAGGGGCAACCGGGACAGAATCTGGCACCCCAACCAGGGCTAGAACCCGGTGTGCCGGCGCCGCAAGGCTGAGGATTAGCCTAGTGAGCCGCGGTGCAGGCATAAAGCAGTTTCTTTTTTTTTTGACAGGCAGAGTGGATAGTGAGAGAGAGAGACAGAGAGAAAGGTCTTCCTTTTGCCGTTGGTTCACCCTCCAATGGCCGCCACAGCTGGCGCGCTGCGGCCGGCGCACCGAGCTGATCCGAAGGCAGGAGCCAGGTGCTTCTCCTGGTCTCCCATGGGGTGCAGGGCCCAAGCACTTGGGCCATCCTCCACTGCCTTCCTGGGCCACAGCAGAGAGCTGGCCTGGAAGAGGGGCAACCGGGAAAGAATCCGGTGCCCCGACCGGGACTAGAATCCAGTGTGCCGGCGCCGCAGGTGGAGGATTATCCTATTGAGCTGCTGCACCGGCCACAAAGCAGTTTTTAAATCCATGCTTTTTCACGATACATATTTGTCATGTTTATTGAAGATATCTCATGCAAGAATTTCAACCTTTTTGCACAAAAGAAACTTTTAATTCATTTTCCATGGGCTTTGTGAAGTACCCACGTATTTCCTTATCATTGTGGTTTTCAGCACATTCCATGTGTCTTCCCTGGAGACTTGGGTATAGCCATGAAAGTATTGGAAATGCAGTGAGGAAGTATTAACTCTTTGTTAGTACTATTATTCATTTATAAAATTATAATAACTAAAATAGTGCCATGATAGAGTGGAATTCACCTGTCAGTACATTCCAGAAGCAGAGCCAACTTGTAACAATTGAATTTTTGGTAAAGTTGGCATTTCAGATTAGCCGAACAGGGATGGAAATTCAGTAATATACTTCTATTATAAGTGATGCCACAGTGAAAATCTTTACTGTTTGAACATTTCACCATATTTAGCAGCATATGCTTTTTTCTTAAGTTCTTAATGAATGTTGGGCCTTGTACTTAACATATTTTTGTCTAATTTAGTTGTGAAAAGGACAATGTAGACATCATGTTTCATTCTTTTTAGGATTTATTTATTTGAAATGTAGAGTTATAATAAAGAGGGAGGGAGAGGGAGAGACAGAGATGTCTATCTGCTGGTTCACTCCGCAAATAGCTGCAACAGCCAAGGCTGTGCCAGGCTGGAGCCAGGAGCTAGGAGCTTCTTCTAGGTTTCTCATGCGGGTGTAGGAGCCCAAGGATATTGGGCCATCCTCCACTGCTTTCCTAGGTGCATTAGCAGGTAGCCAGATGAGAAGTGGAGCCGCCAGAACTCTAACCAGCACCCATATGGGATGCTGGCACCACAGGGGTTGGCTTTACCCACTGTACCACAGCCCCAGCCCTGGTTTTCTAATTATTAAACATAAGTTCAATTTTGACATAAAGGTCAGAGAAATGTTGCCAATATCATTGAAGATCAACATGATACAGTCTGTCTTTAATCCTGCCTGTTCACTGGTTCCTCATGTATATAAGAGTATATTTAACCAGAAAGAGCTAGAGAAAACAAGAACATGATCTTTCTTTGGTCAGCAAAAGTTTGTATCAGTTCAAAGAAGCAATTTTTGATTTAGTTGACTCATGATTTTTCCATTTTTTTTCCACTTATCTTTGCTCTAATCTTTACTATTTCCTTCCTTCTGTTTACTTTGGTTGCGTCTCATTGGCTAGTTTTCTAGTTCTTTAAGGTGGAAGTTTAAAATAATGATTCGAGACCTAACAATTTTAATGCAGTCATTTTAACTTGTGGGATGTTTTCATCTCAGATAATTTTCTAATTGCCTTGTGATTTCTTCTTTGACAGTTGGTATTGCTTAATTAGCATGCATTGTGAATTTTGCAGATTTCCTTCTGTTAAAGAATTCTGATTTCTATTGTCATTGGAGAAGACACTTTGCATGATTTTGTACTTGAGATTTGTTTTGTAGCTCTGCCTTGGTGTCTTACAAAGAATGTGTTTTATATTGTTGGGTGGATTCTTCTTTTTTGTTAAGATTTATTTATTTCAAAGACAGAGTTAGAGCGCGCATGCTTCTATCTGCTGGTTCAGTCCCCAAATGGCCACAATGGCCAGAGCTGGGCTGATCCAAAACCAGGAGCCAGTAGCTTCTTGGTCTCCTATGTGGTTTCAGGGGCCCAAGCACTTGGACCATCTTCTACTGCTTTCCCAGGTATGTTAGCAAGTAGCTGGATCAGAAATGGAGCAGCTGGGACTAGATCTGGTGCCCATATGGGATGCCGGCGCTTTGTGCCAGGGCTTTAACCTGCTACACCACAGCGCTGGCCCCATTGGGTGGATTATTCTGTCTATGTTGTTTGGTCTAGTGTATTTAGTGTTAAGTCTTCTATTTCCTTATTTGTCCTTTATCTAGTTACTAGTGTTAACCCTCAGCTTACAACTAACATCTTAGCTTACAAAAACTTAGTTGAAATTAATGCTATTTGGTGTTAATATTAGGAAAAAACTTTGCTGCTATATAATTTGGTTCTTCCTCTCCACTTTATATTGTTAATCACAAATTACAATTTTAACATATCATATGCTTAGCATGATGTATAATTATTGTTTACGTGGTTGTCTTTTAAAACACATAGAAAAAGAATTTACAAACTAAAATCAATAACTGACATTTACTGTTACCTGTATAATTATCTTAGCAGTGGTATTTTCTTGTGTGGATTCAAGTTACTGTCTTGTGGTCTTCTATTTCAGCCAGAGGATTCCCTTCAGCATTTCCCCTATGCAAGTCTAATAGCACTGAGCTCCATTAGCTTTCATTTATCTGTGAATGTCTTAATCTCGACTTCATTTTTGTAGGATAATTTTGTGAGATACAGAATTCTTGGTTGATAGCTCTTTTCTTTTTAGTACTTTGAGCATGTAAAAGCACTACATACTTGATATGCCTCTCTGAATTATGCCCTTGTTAAGAGTTTGTTGAGCTTCTTGGATTTGTAGATTCATGTCTTTGTCAAACTTGGGAAGTTTTTGGCCATTATTTCTTTAAATAATCTCTTTGACCCCTTTTTGAACTTGCGTAAGTTGGTACACTTGGTAGTATACACACTCATTCTCTCTCTGTATCTATTCCCCACTCTCTATCTCAACCTCTCTCAACTTCCCCTCTTTTCAGATGGGCTCTGAGTGTGTGTTAGGTAGACTTTTAGCCAGGAAGTGTACCACTCTGCCAAAGCTTTATTTCCTCCTGCAGAGCCTTAAGGTCAGGCAGAGTTTGGAGCTTAAGACCTTCTCATGGCTTTTCACAGAATGTGCCAGCCTGGGGCTTGCATGTCATCTTTTAGGGTCCCAGGAATATGTGGAGCCTTTCAAAACCCTTATTCCCTGAAGAATCTCACACCCTCCCCCTTTCTTCCCTTTGACCTTTCTTCCCAAGCTTTTCAGTTTGCCCAAACTGTATACCCAGGAGGGTAGGGCCTAATGCTATTAAATGTTTTTAACAAGTGTCTCTCCCAACTCCCTCACTCCTGGGAGAGTTCCAAATAAGGTAAAATATTGGCAAGCTCTCTGTGAGCTGGTCCTTGGGTGGGTGGGAGGAGCTAGAAAGGCCAAAACAACCCAGCATAGTTTTTTGAGAACAAAGTCCATTTTGCTCACTCCAGATATATGGGCTGTTGGGCTCAGCCAGTGCTTAGCCTGGAAAGTGTGAGATAGAGTCAGGGCAAGTTAAATCACACAAAATGCTTTCTTGAGATTCAGCTGTTTTGTGGTTTTTATCCACCTCAGTTAAGCATTTGCCTAGTTGCTGTGAAGTATTGTTTAGTTTCCAGAGTTTTGATAAAAGTTGATTCTGACAAGTTTTTCCAGTTTCCTGCTTTTGTAAAGGACTGAAAATTTAGAGTTCCTTACTCTGGCATTTTTGCTGACATTGCTCCCAGTATAACAGTCCATTTTTTAAATCCTTTTGGAGCTACGAGTATGTAGTAATTTGTCTCCAGGCAGACTTTCTTAACCCAAGTTTCCACTAGAGAAGTAAACCCTAATGCCCTGAAGTGTCATCATATGTAACAAATGAATACTATTCTGTACTTCTAGAGTGGTACTAGTGATATGCAGTTCATTGGTGTGTTTTCATATATGATGAGTATTGAGAAAAGCTGCCGGTGGGTCAAGTGTAGTTAGAGAGAGCTTCTTTCTCAAGAGGTAGGCAGATCGTGGAAGCTTTAATTTTTCCATTTTAGAAATAGCATTCTATAATAGAGACCTTTGTGAAGGTACACTTCAGTGATTTACTCCATTTTTTTTTTAACTTTATTGGTAGGCGGTAACAAGATAGCAGCATTGCATGAAGAGGAAATATTTAAATGTAAAGAGAGCATGCCACTTTAGGCCACAGTGGCAGCCCCAATTCATTACCTCACAGACTTGCTGATGAGTTGTTAGACTTTATGACAAAGTACTAAACAAGGCAGATGTCAAGCTTGTAACTCGGCTCATGTCAAAAGAAAGGAACTGGAGAGCATGTGATTCTACCCTAGTGAGGAAGGTGAATAGGCAGAGTGTCAGTCAAGGTTTGATGGGACATGTAGGCATGTGGAATGCAGTGACTGGCAATTGCTTGTGTTCTTCCCAGGAGCTTCCTCAAAGAACAGTGGAATTGCTCTCATTAAAGAAGTCACCTCTAGGCCAGCTGTCTTGCCTTGAGTCTTGCTTCTGTTTGCTCCCTCTTGTTTGACCTTTACATTGGATGTTTGTCTCTTCAACACTGTGCTCCAAGCAGCTACATATTCTTAAATAATTTACTTATAAGGCATGATAAGCACTGTGTTAACTGTCTCTTTCTTCTTTTCCAAGAGCTGGGGTGGAAAGGAGAATGGCTTTGGACTTGCAGAGTGTTGCAGAGACTTGCATATGATGGTAAGTAACTTGGGCATGTGAGTGTCTTGGCAGAGCTATGATCTCCTTATGAGCCTTTCTTTACAGTATGAATACAAGGATGCTTCAAACATTTGTGGACAATAGAATTTGTTTTGGTGCAGACCAAATTTGAAATTCGTGCATAGTTTTTTCAGAATATTAATTTTCTAAGAACTTTCTTGAAGTGTATCCTTATATACATTATATAAAATTACCACTTCACATCATGACCTTTGAGGAACCTAAGATCATTTGAGATGTAGCACACGTTAGGAAGCAGTCTAGCAATGGTTGGGCCCTCACAGAGCTGGCAGTAGATACAGATTCTCATTCACGGTTATGTTCATACCCAGTTCTTTAGTAGGAAGCCACATCTGTTCAGTTGGTTTGAAAGTGGTTTTAAAATCTTCCGCCTGCGGCTCTGGCTTCCCATATGGGCACTAGATTCTAGTCCCGGTTGCTCCTCTTCCAGTCCAGCTCTCTGCTGTGGCCCAGAGGGGCAGTGGAGGATGGCCCAGGTGCTTGGGCTCCTGCCCCTGCATGGGGGACCAGGAGGAAGCACCTGGCTCCTGGCTTCAGATCAGCATAGCACCGGCCATGGAGACTATTAGGGAGTGAACCAACAAAAGGAAGACTTTTCTCTCTGTCTCTCTCACTGTCTGTAACTCTACCTGTCAAATTAAAGAAAAAAATCTAACAGTGCATTTGCTTGCATTCTTACACTGAAACCATCAGAACTGTAGGCAGTGTGACTTGATGTAGCAATGGCTGCTTGGAGAACAGTTCTGTTAGAATTATTGAGAACTTTTACATGTTCAGTCCTCTGCCTTTCGCCCATACATGCTTAGGTTATGCTTTGATATGTTGCCATGGAACCACAATCACAATTGAGGTTTTTGTAACAATTCTGTGCCTTGAGACAACTGTGTTTTCCAGCAAATGTACACTTTGTCTTGTCAGTTTTTCATATTTAGCAAAAATGACTGCAGTGAAATTTAGCAAATTTATTTTAAACCTCCCACCCCTGCCCATGGAGAATGGCTTCCTTTCTGGTTATAGAAATGTACAAGCTACTCTCCCACCTTAGCTGATAAACTTTTAGTGACTTTTTTTGAATGGATGTTGGCTAATATGGGAGGTGAGGATTGTGTGTTTAAGTCTCAGAACTACGTAAATCTTAATAGGGATTCAGAGTTTGCAATTCTAATTCTGAGGATTCAGTTTTTCCTTCTTAAAGTTTGGTGGGTTAATTCTGAGCCGTATGCACATCAAGCTTATTCTTTACCTCTTGGTCTAAACAGTATAATGCACTGTGCTATATTTGCATAATGTCTTTTCCTCATTTTGGACCAACCCTAAGTTAAGAAATCACATATCCTTTTATTGAGATTTGGCATGTGATGAACCTTTGGAGAATATAGTGTGTATTTTAAACGTAAATGGTAGGCTGGCGCCGTGCCTCACTAGGCTAATCCTCCCCCTGCGGCGCTGGCACCCCAGGTTCTAGTCCCGGTCGGGGCGCCAGATTCTTTCCCAGTTGCCCCTCTTCCAGTCTAGCTCTCTGCTGTGGCCCGGGAGCGCAGTGGAGGATGGCCCAAGTGCTTGGGCCCTGCACCCGCATGGGAAACCAGGAGAAGCACCTGGCTTCTGGCTTCGGATCAGCATGGTGCACCGGCTGCAGCGGTCATTGGGGGGTGAACCAACGGCACAGGAAGACCTTTCTCTCTCTCTCTCTCTCTCTCTCACTGTCCACTCTGCCTGTTAAAAAAAAAAAGAAAAGAAAAAGTAAGTGGTATATAGACATGTTTAAAAATTGAAAGAGTATAAAGGAGTATTAGTCTGGGAATAACTTTTTCATTCCCAGAGAGTCTGTACTAGTGATTTCTTTCAACATCTTGTGTTCAGCATGTTGCTCTTCTAGAGTTAAATACACTGTGTTGTTAGGCTTTACTTTATATTGGCTCGGTGTCTTCCTGTGTGAAAAATCAAATATCACAAGGAGTGGTACAGAATGGTACAAGGTAGCATTTGAAGAAAAAGAAGGTATGTTCGTTGAGGTATACTATGAATCAAATATTTGAGAAGGCTGATGATAGACCCCAAGGTTTTGGTAAGAGTTGTCCTTTTCCATTCATTAGCTGATACCTTGACCCTGGTGTGTGTTCTTGGATTTGTTGGTATTTGTTCTTGTTCATCCTTTCTTGGATTCTTACTCATTACTGCTTAGCCTACTTGCCCCTGTTTTCTCGTTTGAGAATAGCTACAGTCAAGAACCATCTCTTGAAAGAAAGGGCAACTGGTAACTTACAAGGAAAAATAGAGAAGCTTTTGGAGCTCTGGCTCTATCCTTCTGATTCTATTTTTCACAAATCTCATTCCATACAAGCCCTTTTCTACCTAAGATAAAGAGTTAAAGGTACTGTAGATGCTGAATACTAATTCTGCTGTCAAAATGAATTGGACAAGTGACTAGGTCTTTGAGGGAAGAATTGGGAAAAGATGTTGTCGGCCTTACCTAAAATCAGTGGAAGCTCAGTGTCTGGTTCTTTGTTGTGCTTTATACACAGAAATACCCACCCAGTGCAACTACACTACACTTTGAATTCTATGCAGACCCTGGGGCCGAGGTCAAAATTGAGAAGAAGGTGGGTCTCATTCACATGTGTTTTGATAGACTATAGTCTACTGTAACTGGTTTGACTTCTCTAGAACTCCTCAGTTTTAAATGAAGGAATGGGTTTAGTGCTGTATTTCTGCCCTCCCAATCTGAATATACCTACTAGCTTGTCAGGAATAAATGTCAGTTGCATGCCCATCTGTTGTAATGTTGCTTCTTACCCATGTTGGGAGCTGTCAAAAAAAAATAGGACTCCCTTTATGGGATGCTTCTACTGCTTGTGTATTTTTCTCACAGCCTTAATTGAGAATTCCAACGTACAGTATAATCTGAATATTGGTGGTTCAGGTTTCTCTCCTTAAGCTAACTTAAAAGATGGCTCTGTATGTTGCATATAGGGAAACTATTCAGTGATTCCTAACAGCTCTCTTTTAAATTTCAGACAACTAGTAACACACTACATTATATTCACATAGAGCAGCTTGACAAGGTAAGAGGAATGTTTGATTATTGGCTAGTTTCTTAACATTTGGTTGACTTTTTGTTCCTAACTTTTTTTCCCCCCCTCTAATATAGATTTCAGAAAGCCCTTCTGAAATCATGGAATCTCTTACCAAAATGTACAGCATTCCTAAAGATAAGCAGGTATGATGCACCCTGAAAATACCCAAGAGATGTGGTTGTTACCCAAATAGATTAATGATATGTACTTGGATGGGAGCCTGCAGAGCAGAAAGAATCAGCTTTGGAATCAGGCCATGAACAGATTAGTTAGGTTTTCTGGGCCTTAGTTTCCTGGTCTTATAGTGAGGGCATAACTTAATACTTTCCTTTATGAGAGTTTGAGGAAAATGTAAACTGGGTGGCTATCAGTCTCTAATAAGTAGTGATAGTTTTCTCAACTCTTTGGGTATCAAAGGAGAAAATGTTCAGTTGTGACTTGTTTTTCTTTCTTTCTTTCTTTTTTTTTTTTTGTGCTCATTTTACGTGTTCCCTATTTTGTTGCCTGTCAGGATGCTGACAGTTCTTGGCTCACCTTGGGATTAGTAGGAATCTTTGAATTTCTGTGTAGTCAGCTGACCTCAGAGTGGATGGTAACAGTTCTGTTTGATAACTTAGCAAATAACAACAATACCATTTTATTCAACAGATAAGACTTAGCCCCCAGAAAGAATATTTACCTTTTCCATTGATTTTTTTAACATAGGCCTTATACTCTCTACAGATGCTGTTATTTACACACATACGGCTGGCCCATGGGTTTTCTAACCATAGGAAGCGACTACAAGCTGTTCAGGCCAGACTGCATGCAATATCTATATTAGGTAAGAGAAGAATATTATAATTAAGAGGCCGTAGTAGACTGTTTGTGCTTCATTTCCTTTGCATTTCATTCCTCTGTTGCTATGAGACTTGCTGAAGTTACCTAGGTGGTAACTTAAGTTTTAAAATTGTTAACATTTCCTTTGTTCACTGAATTTATTCATCTTTCTTGAGTGCTTTCATATTGGATGAGAGAGAGGATATGCTGCTTACTTACATGGATTTAGTCTTGATTTGTAGTCTTGGGTTTTTTTTTGTTTTGTTTTGGTTTTGTTTTTTAATTTTTTAAATTTTTTTTTTAAGGAATACAAATTTCCTAAGTACAACTTCAGGAATATAGTTATTCCCACCATATCAGCTGTACCACTCACTCTCCCACCCTTCCTCTTCCTCCCCCTCCCCTTGCCAGTCCCATTATCCATTAAGATTCATTTTCAATTAACATTTTACACAGACTAGCAACTCTGTACTAAGATAGAAATGATCTCTGAAAGTATAGTCTTTGTCTTGTCTTTTTTCATGAGTGTGCATCTCTCACTGTCCTCTACTATTCCGCTTGCCATCTAGTCTTCCTCTTCTCCCATTTTTTTGGGAGTATAATTTTGAAATTGGTCAAAATATTCATTAAGTAGATGGCTTTTACTGTATATGAGCATTTACTGTGGGGCCAGTAGAATGGAAAGCACATACTTTTGGAATCAGTCCTGGACTCTTACTCTGATTCTTCAGATTATTAACCACATGTATATCCTCTTAGTCTCAGCTTCCTTGTTTTATATTTAGACAGTACCTACTTTATATGCTGGTTTGAGGACTTAGTGAAAACCTGGAAAGCAACTCTCTTTTCATGCCTCCATCCCCCAAAATCCTTACTCAAAACTGCTAATACCGTTAGTACAGGAATTGTCAGTTCTGCGGTATTTAGAGCTCATACTTGATCTGATCTTCCATCCTGAAATTCAGTGATTCTGCCCTCTGATGCTAGTTAGAAGGGAATCCTTTCCCATTACCTGTAGATGCCTAGAGGTTTATCATTGGACATTGGCTTAACCTCTGCCTTCTTGCCTAAAGTGTTTATTTTTCCTTTTGCAGTGTATTCTAATGCCTTGCAGGAATCAGCAAACAGTATCTTGTACAATGGGTTGATAGAGGAGTTGGTAGATGTCCTTCAGATAACAGATAAGCAGCTTATGGTGAGTATTTATTAATAATCTCCCTGCATATCAGGCTTTTACTTACTTGCCTTTCAGGTTTTCCCAAGGGAATTAAAAAAAGACTCCAAAAGAGGAACTTAGCCCTTTTTCTTCTTTGACTATTAAACTGCAAAATTAACAAACAGTGGATTTTTAGGGTTAACTCTCAGCAGTCATCCAACTCCCCAAGCAGTTATTAGTGGACTGACTTAAAGTTGGGGTATATCAGCAACTGGATTCATTTGTTATCTTATTTGACATGTTCTGTATAGGAGATTAAAGCTGCTTCTTTACGGACATTAACATCAATCGTCCACTTGGAGAGAACTCCCAAACTCAGCAGTATTATTGACTGTACTGGAACTGCCTCCTACCATGGATTTTTGCCTGTACTTGTGCGGAACTGTATCCAGGCCATGATTGGTGAGTTTGGGTGGTGATTATTCTAGGTGAAAGATGACTCTTGCCCTTTGCTTTTCTGTTTTTGTTTAATATCCAACCAGCTTAACACTAAATTCTGAACTCAGTCTTTGTTTCCCTCTCCCAACCTCCCTTGTAGATCCTTCCATGGATCCGTACCCCCACCAGTTTGCCACTGCTCTCTTCTCTTTTTTATACCATCTGGCCAGCTACGATGCTGGTGGTGAAGCCTTGGTCTCCTGTGGAATGATGGAAGCCTTATTGAAGGTGCTCTACTTTTGTTAAAATACATTTGTGGGGAAATAACAGAGAATGTTGAATTGTGAGCTTAGAATTTTCCACTGTGAAAACAGGTAGACAAAGAAAGCTTACTCAGAAAAAGTTTTACTTAGTTCTTTAATTTTGGCCTTCTGGTTATCTCATTAGCAACTTTTTAAAGACCAGCTATGTCCATTATTAAGAATTTATTGCAGTTCAGCATATAGCAATAAAGCAGGAAGCCCCAAGAACTAATCAAATCATTGCAATATGTTATCAGAACCTTAGGTGAGACCCTGAGCAAAATGTATGTAAAGGTACCTTGTTCATTGTGCTGTAATAGCAGTAGTCTTTATTATTTGTTGAGGACTGGCTATCAGGTTTTGTTTTCTCCCTGAAGGTTTTATTTAATTGTGCAAAATGATTGATGTCCCCATTACTTCAGATGAGGTTGAGTCCTTGTAGTCAGAGTTGTCATTTGGCAAGCACCAAAACTCTTTTTTTTTTTTTTTTACAGGCAGAGTGGATAGTGAGAGAGAGAGAGAGAGAGAGAGAGAAAGGTCTTCCTTTTTGCCGTTGGTTCACCCTCCAATGGCCGCCATGGCTGGTGCGCTGCGGCTGGTGCACCGCGCTGATCCGAAGGCAGGAGCCAGGTGCTTCTCCTGGTCTCCCATGGGGTGTAGGGCCCAAGCCTTCCTGGGCCACAGCAGAGAGCTGGCCTGGAAGAGGGGCAACTGGGAAAGAATCTGGCGCCCCGACCGGGACTAGAACCCGGTGTGCCAGCGCCGCTAGGTGGAGGATTAGCCTAGTGAGCCGCAACGCCAGCCCAAAACTCTTAATACAGGCTTTCTTCCCCATACTATGGTACCTCCCTGCTGCCTCAGAAAACACATTTATAAACAGATGCATTTTTATAGCTTTATGTCTTTAGTTCATTGTTTTTACCTCTTTTTTTCCTCTCTAATAGGTCATAAAGTTTCTTGGCGATGAACAGGATCAGATAACATTTGTTACCAGAGCTGTGAGGGTGGTTGACCTCATCACCAACCTGGACATGGCAGCTTTTCAATCCCATAGTGGGCTTTCTATCTTCATTTATAGACTTGAGGTATTATTCTACTAGGAACACTTTGTGTAGACTTTATGCCAGTGAGAACTGAGCCCAAAACCTTTCCTAATATATCCCTAAGGAGTGATCTTACCCCTCTTATGTTTCTAGAAAACAGTTCTATAATCTGCCTTGGCATTCCTCCATTATGGATGTTTTTAATCCCTGAAACATTTACAGGATTTTCTTACTCCTTTTCCCTTGATTGTAGCATGAAGTAGATTTGTGCCGAAAAGAATGTCCATTTGTGATCAAGCCAAAGATCCAGAGACCCAGTACCACACAAGAAGGAGAAGAAATGGAAACTGATATGGATGGTAATTAACAGTTATTAAGTCATGAAAATAATTTCATGTTTGAGATTTTCCTGTCATCCCATCCAGATTTGAATTATCTTACATAAATAACAAAGTATCCAATTCAGTTAGTATATATTTCCAGCAACAGCAATTTTTTCCACGTTGATTTTCAAGTTGTTTTTACAAGACTAATCAGAAAAGGAAGGTGAATGTTTTTCAAAATAGAGGTGGAAGGTGAAGCAGACTGTTGAGCTGTAGTAGATCCCTGCTGTCACTCTATGATGTTAGTCTGTTTTATTTCATCACCTGAGTCATGTTTTCTTATGTCTTGATTCGTTATCTTATTCTCACTAAGTTCTAAGCTCCATGGAATCAGGGTTCTACTGTCTTTTTCAGTGCTGCTGTGCCTGATTTTTCCTAAGTGTTTAATGTGTTTTTGGTAGAGATACGGAGAATATAGACTCTAAAATGGGACCTTTGAAAACTTTGAGAAAGGGGAGGAGAGGTGAAGAGATTGTTGGGTAAGGAACAACTTTTAAATAATGAAATTGGAAAGAAGTCCAGCTATTCTAAATCTTTGGCTATATTGTCTTTTTTCAGTTTTTTTTCTTTTTTATTTATTTATTTTTTATTTGAAAGTCAGAGTTACAGAGATAACAGAAAGAGGAGAGGCAGAAAGAGAGGTCTTCGATCCAATGGTTCACTCCCCAATTGATTGCAATGGCCGGAGCTGCGTCAATCCAAAGCCAGGAGCTTCTTCTGGATCTCCCACGTGGGTGCAGGGGCCCAAAGACTTGAGCCACCTTCTGCTGCTTTCCCAGGCCATAGCAGGGAGCTGGATGGGAAGTAGAGCAGCTGAGTCTCGAACTGGCACCAGTATGGGATGCCGGCACTTCAGGCCAGGGCGTTAACCCACTGCGCCAAAGCTCTGGCCCTTGTATTGTCTTTTTTTAAAAAGCCCCACCTCCTTCCTAATGCATAAGTCATTATAGTACCAAAAAGAAATTATTCCCCAAACAGCTTACCCAAAATTTTAGTTTTTTGTCTTGATGATCTAGGTTATCATTACATGTCTGTTATCAGGCTTATAATGAAGATACTAGAATGTATAATGCTTCATTCTTAGCAATACATAAATACTCATTGGTTGCTATTCCTTTTTTTATGACTAAATTCCTAAACACAGTTAGACATGCATGTTGCCATCCCTGGAAGCCCATTTACCTGATTTCTGTTTCTACTCTATTTTGGGCAATCTGGTATTTGAATTTTTGAATGAGATCCCAGAAGGCTGAGTCAAATGTGATATGACTACTGTTCATTGTAGATCACTCTGAAAAACAGATTGTGCTTTTCATATATGAGTAAGGACATGCAAAAGTGATTATTTATGTATAAAAAAGATCATAAGAAAGTATTATTAGATGTAAACAATGGTTTATCCCTAATGGAACTTTATTATTTTATAAATTATTTGTGTATAAATGAAAAGTGAAGGCTCACTCACCTTTCACCATAGCTTCTAGTTTGGTGTAATTCTTTCTAGACTTTTTAGATATATACTAAAATACTTATATCCATGTATAGTATATAGTCTTCTAGAACAGGAAGATGGTTAAACATTCTGTTATTCATTCAGTGTATCACAGATATCATTGCTGTTGATTATGCTGTGTTAAATGTTGTAATTCTTTTTATAGTTTATTATTACTTACTTTACCTACTATATGCCTACTACTCAACGGTAGTACATGAAATTGCATGTTTTGCTTACCACTCTGAATCTCACTTTGGTGAGTGAAAAGTATTAAAGAACTTCTTTTGTTGGATTATTTTTATCACCTACTGATGTTAAATTCCCTTCTGTTTGTGGACAACTTAAATTTCTTGTTGGATTGCAATATCCTAATCCTGCTTCATTTTTATTTCATTCATTTCACCTTAATGGAAGAAATTTCTCAATCTATCTTTTGGGATGTATCTTTTATTCTTAAGTAGTTTCTTTATTATAACTTGGACTTCAGTTGCAGATGTGACTATGGAAAGCAGTCCAGGCTCATCCATCTCTATGGAACAACGGCTGGATGTTGAATTAAGGACATCAAGCTCCAACAACAGTGCTAACATCTCTTCTGGCCCTGGCCCTGGGCCTGGGCCTGGCCCTGGTCCTGGCCCTGGCCCTGGTCCCGGTCCTGGTCCTGGCCCTGGCCCCGGTCCCGGCCCTGGTTCTCGTCCTGGTGCGTAGACAAACGTATATGTGATGTTTCACAGTGACTTGAGTTATTAAACTAGTGAAGATGACAGCTTTAGGAGGAGCTTAAATTCTGTTACTGTTCTCCCTTGCCAGGTGTGCAGTGTATTCCACAGCGAGCAGCACTTCTCAAATCCATGCTGAACTTCCTCAAGAAAGCCATTCAGGACCCTGCTTTCTCGGATGGCATACGACATGGTACTTTACTCTGGAAAACTGTTTCTGAAAGATGTTTGACTCTTTCTATGGGTCCTTCTCAAGCTATTCTTACACCTAATCTTTTACCAGGAGGCTTAGGGAAAGACCATGCCATTTTGAGTAGCTTTTACTTGTTTGGTATTGCTTTTCCTGGACTTAAGTAGTGTTTAGCTGTTTTTGTAGTGATTTACCATCTTTAATTTGTTATTTTCCTTTTCCAGCATTTGGCTCTCTGTTGACTTCCATCCTACTACCTCTCTCAGAATTTATGTGCCTGTATTCCTTTAAAAAATTTTTGTTATTGACCCACTGTTAGAAAGCTCATTTCATGACCAAATAATAAAACAGAGACAAGCAGAGGCAATTAGATTGGAATCAGCACAGACTTTGCCACAGTGTGCTGTATATAACATTGTTTCATTATCTTCACTCCTTAACACTTCTCCCAGACTGATCATATTCTCCTTAATGTTCACTTTTCTGTTAGTAATGGATGGTTCTCTGCCTACCTCCCTGAAACACATCATCAGCAATGCAGAATACTATGGCCCATCACTTTTCCTCCTAGGTAAGTGGAATTGGTGGTTAGTTATACCGAGCTGGAATAAACTAGCAAACCTTTCTGTGTGTTTTTATTGTAGGATTTTGCTATCCACATTTCTACACTCAGATTATGTATCTTTTGTTGGTGAATAAATTTATTTTCAAATAAATACTCATTTCTTAAATGCCAAATATACATTTAAGTAGTGTATTATGAATTACTTGTGGTTAGAAGTATTGTACATTTGGCTGGTTTGTGCTATACTTACTGTTCAAGTGAGGTTTTTAAAAAAATATATAAAAATATGTCTGCAGATAGGCATTTGTCCTCGTGGTTAACATGCTGATTAGGAAGCCGTGTCCCACATCAGGGTGCCTGGGTTGGATTCTCAGCTCCAGTTCCTGATTCCAGCCTCCTGCCAAAGTGGTTCCTAAGGCAGCAGTGAATGGCTCAAGTGGTTGGGTTTCTACCACCCACAATGGGAGACCTGGATTGAGTTCCTGGCTCCTATTTCCTGTCTGCCTGGCGACTGCTGGCATTTGGGAAGTGAAATACCAGATGTGAGCTAGCATGCACACACTTAACTTGCTCGTTCTCTCTTCCTCTCAAATCAATAGATTTACTTTTTTAAAATCATAATCTTTTATAATAGTCAGTCATTGTGAGGGCATAGCAATTTGTTCCAGCAGATTGGAGCATTACCCCAGTAAAATCACTTCACTCGTTAGAGAAGTGTTGACCCCTTGGTATGGATTTCTGTTGGTAGCGATACCTATGACAGAATAGGGCACAAACATCACATTGAGATGCCATTTGCATGTATCCCACAGACCTAGTGACTAGTAACCAGAGGTCTCACTGAACCCATCGAGTTAAGGATAGGAGTAATACCTGAGCTTACTCAAAGTATGAGCAGTTGGTCAGCTCTGACATTATAGTGTGCTTCCTTTGTGACAACCTTGATATGAGCACAGATACTGGGAGACTTTAATGTAACACAAGAAGTCTGAGCATCAGTGTATTCCCACCATGAAAAGTCTCCATAGTGGATGGTCCTGAATATAACTATTTTGAGCGTACTCCCTAGGAAAAACAAAGATTCTAAAAATAAGAACCATGGATATACCTTTATTAAAGTGTCCTGCAGTGCCAAAGTGATTACATCCAGCTCAGTTGGGCTGCCTTTTGAGTAATGTATATATCAAAAATGACCTGGTTTTGGGGTAGGAAACAGCAGCTCTTCCAGCAGGCTTCATCATGTATGGTTGCTGGTGCTGCCATCCATAAAATACCCTTTTTATTGGATTTTTTACTAAATAAAGATAATATCTTTCTGTTCTTATGTCCTACCCAGGTACCCTGAGTACTATTGAAAACCAAGTTCACCAGTTACCCTTAGGACAAAAGCCTCTGAATTTCTGTTTTCATTTATTTGGGCCTTAGGCCAGATACTTACTTTGTCTACTCTTTACATTTTAAAAGATTTTTCAAGTATTTTATCTAGCTATTAGTTCTTCCAGCAGAACAACTTATGGTACTGTAGTGTATTTTTATCTTAAAAGAGGAATTTTCTGCACTTCTCCCATTCGTTAGTGATCCTGGACATTCTTTCTCGTCGTTTTATTTCAATTTTAGTGGAATATATCCTTGGGTAATTTTTTTAAGATTTATTTATTTTTAAAAAGATAGAGGGAAAGAGAGAGAGTTCTTCCATTTGCTGGTTCATTCCCTAGATGGCCACAGTGGCTGGGGCTGGGCCAGGCCAAAACTAGGAGCCAGGAGTTTGTTCTGGATATCCCACATGGGTGACAGTGTCCCAAGCACTTGGGCTATATTCAGCTACTTTTCCCAGATTAGCAGGGAGTTGAATAGAAAGTAAAGCAGACAGGACTTGAACTGGTACTGATATGGGATGCTGGCATCTCAGGCAGTGGCTTTACCTGTTAACACCACAACACCAGTCTCTCCTTGGATAATTTTTAAAGTGTTACATATTTCTTTCAGAATTTAGTGTATGTTTCTTCCTTGTGTTCTAATGTTCCATATTGTAGAAAACCATGATATCAGATTGGTTCTTGTTCTTCTGCAGGCAGTTTTCACCTTTTTGCTCTGGAGAATCTGTAGCATTTTTTCTTCACCTTAGAATTCAAAATTTCACCATTATTTTTAGATCTCTTTCGTTTCAAATTTCCCACATAGTGTTTGATTAGGTTTTAAAAATATGATTTTTTTTTTTTTTTTGGCTTCTGGAACTTCTATTTCTTTAATTCCGTTTAACATACATGTTCGCTCCTGGAAACATGTTTACATAGCCAAAAGGCATACCACAGTTATTTTATTTTTTTCCTTTTGTAACTTAGTTGCTTGGTTCCACCCAGAGCTTGTTGTTTCCATGTTTATACCCTTTAAAAAAACACTGCATGATTTTTTGCAAAAGAGAAACTTTGATATAGTAGTAGTCATCTTTATTACACATTTCTGAATATCACCATCTGAAAATCTGGTCAGATTAATACCCAAGAACTTGTAAACTGTCGATAGTAGCTTGCTGAACAAACTTCTTAGAAGACAGTTTGTTCATTTTTGTCAGCTAAGCTTGCAGTCACTTTGACCCAGCAAACAGACATCTTAGTTTTTCTTTTTACCTGCTAAGGTGGCCCAAAAAGGAGGGGAGTGTATTTTAGGTTCAGGTTCATCAATTTTCACAGTAGGAGACTGGTTTTTATATATAGTGGTATATATGTATGTATATTAGAATATACATATATATTGGAATATGTATGTATAATGGAATATTATGCTATTCTCATTCAAAATGAGTGGGTTGCAGTGAGGGGGTAAAGGAGATTATATGAAACATACTATAGCTGAAGAACAGCAAATTATATAACCTCATTTATGTAAAAATATGTCTATAAGAACCTAGAAGAAGGTCACTAGATTCCTAATAGTGATTAGTCCCTGATAGAGCTTTCATTTCATAGTCAGCACAAATGCTTAAATTGTTAGACCCTGAATATGTATTTTTAAAAGCTTTGAGTATTTTGCTTTTAATATCTCTAAGGAATCCCTCAGTTTTCCACATTTTCTCATCTCTTTTTTAGCTACTGAAGTGGTGACTGTGTTTGTATTTCAAGAACCATCACTGCTGTCCTCACTACAGGACAATGGATTAACAGATGTCATGCTGCATGCACTGCTTATCAAAGATGTGAGTCCTTTCTGCTACTCTGAAAAACACTCCATGCATACCCCTTAACCCAACACACACACACTTGAAAAGCAGTCTTATGCTATGAAAATCCTATCTCTTACCTTCTGTATGTTGTACTGAATGTAACTGAAACCTTGTTGCCAGAATCCTTTCTGTCTCTCAGCGTGCTACCTCTGGCCAGGTTTTCCTAGCATCTATACATGGATTCTTTTAAATGTGTTCAACCTTAAATGTGTTCAAACTTCTTTTTAGGTTCCTGCTACCCGTGAAGTCCTTGGCTCCCTCCCAAATGTATTCAGTGCACTCTGCTTGAATGCCCGAGGTCTTCAGTCTTTTGTACAATGTCAGCCTTTTGAACGTCTCTTCAAAGTTCTTCTCTCTCCAGATTACCTCCCAGCCATGAGGAGGAGGAGGAGTTCAGATCCCCTTGGTATGTTGTCAGGATTTACCTTATAATAGAAAATTGGGTCAGTTGGCTGGGAAAGCCTTCCTTGAGCTCACGTGGTTTCTCTGGATAATACATTCTTTTACAGGTAGGAGGGAATGCTTCATCCTTAGCTTCTCTGCTTATAGTATTTCCATGCTTCTCAACAAATCATCATTGTACTTTCATGGCACTGCTAAGAATTAGGTACTAGGAAGCAGCAATGAGACATGTAGAGTTCCAGGTATTGATCCTGGTAATCTGATACTCTAGTATCCAAGTCTCTAAGACGAAATGTGACTCGCAGTACTTGAGACCAGACAGTTGAGAAATTACTAGCAAGAAAGTAGAGCTCCAAAAGGATTCCAGTTTTCAAAAACATGCTTTGTACTTTCTGGGACAGTCAGAAGGATAATAGTTTATGCTTCTTTTCCAATCTATAATACTATTGAGTTGAGATCTCTCTTTTTTTTTTTAAGATTTATTTTTTATTTATTTGAAATACAGAGTTACAGAGAGGTAGCGACAGAGCTCTTCCATCCACTGGTTTACTCCCTAAATGGTCACAATGGCCAGAGCTGAGCCAATTCTGAAGTAAGGAGCCAGGAGCTTCTTCCGGGTCTCCCACGTGGGTGCAGGGGCCCAAGGACTTGGGCCATCTTCTCCTGCTTTCTCAGGCGCATTAGCAGGGATGAGCGAGGTGGATCAGAAGTGGAGCAGCCAGGACTCAAACGCGTTCATATAGGATGCTGGCGCTATAGGCTGGGACTCCAGCACACTGCGCCACAATGCCTGCCCCAGTAATTGAGATCTTTACAGTAGAGAGATTTCCAGAGTAGAGTGTAACACCCATCATTACTTGAAAATATGTTTACTAGCCTGATTCTTTCCTCCTCTTCAGTGATTTGGGGGCTGATGTGAATTCATTTGGGGAAGCGTGTATCACAATGACCAGCTCAGTTTCATCTTTTTGCCTGGTGTTGACACAGAGAAAAATAGCTCTTATTTTCTTCAGTCTTTCTTTCTAACAGTTCATTTTTGCTTTAAGGGGATACTGCATCCAACCTAGGGAGTGCTGTTGATGAGCTTATGAGACATCAACCTACCCTCAAAACAGATGCAACAACTGCCATCATCAAGGTAGGAAGTGATAACATTGACCTAGTGCATGAGAGAACCATGTGGGGCTAGTTTTTAGAAAAAGTAGTCATTTTAGTTCAGATCTTACCAGAAGTTTCTGTTAACTTCAGCTCTTGTAGATCAAGAGTTATTTTTTTTTTATTTGAGGGAGTTAGAGAGAGACAAAGAGAGGTCTTCCATCCACTGGTTCACTCCCCAAATGGCCTTGATGGTCAGAGCTGAGCCGATCCAAAGCCAGGAACCAGGAGCTTCTTCTGAGTCCCCCATGTGTATGCAGAGGCCCAAGTTACTTGGGCCATCCTCTGCTGCTTTCCTAGGTGCATTAGGAGGCAGCTGGATCGGAAGTAGAGCAGCCAGGACTCATAGTAGCACCCATACGGGATGCCAGCACTGCAGGTCGGGGCTTTAACTGTCTGCTCTATAACACCTGCCCCTCGTATATATGATATTAACAGGCATCCAAGGCCTAACCTTTGTCTAGTCATACTTTTATTGATATTTTTAAAGATTTGTGTATTTGAAAGAGAGAGATCTTCCATCTGCTTCCACTCCCCAAATGGCCACAGTTGGGCCAAAGTCAAGAGCCAGGAGCTTCTTCCAGATCTCTCATGTGGGTGGCAGGGGCCCAAGCAGGCACATTGGCAGGGAGCCAGATCAGAAGTGGAGCAGTCAAGACTTGAATGTGTGCCTGTATGGTATGCTAGCATTGCAGACAGTAGCTTAACCTGCTGTGCCACAAGGCCTCAATAGTTTCTTGATCTTTACCCCCAACATTTCTTAATCCTGCCAGTTGCCATTTAGGCTTTGAAACTCACAACAATATGAGTTCCTGGTCCTTGGTTAAATAGACAGGAGTCAGATTTGTCAAGTCAGTCACTTAAACAATGATGTCTGAACTTTAACAAATTACTTAACTTTGCAAATTTCCTTTTTCTTGTTTGTAAAACGGAGTTAATGACTACATTCCCAGAATAGTGCAGATAACATGTATATAAAGTGTTACAGCAAATACATGGTATATCTTCAGTCATGTCCCCACTCCTTAATTGCTGATAAGTAATTTTATTTTCTCTTTCAGTTACTTGAAGAAATCTGTAATCTTGGAAGAGACCCTAAGTACATCTGTCAGAAGCCATCTATCCAGAAGGCAGACGGCACTGCCACTGCTCCTCCCCCAAGGTCTAATCATGCTGCAGAAGAAGCCTCTAGTGAGGATGAGGAGGAAGAGGAAGTGCAGGCCATGCAGAGCTTTAATTCTACACAGCAAAGTGAAACAGAGCCTAATCAACAGTAAGTGTTCGGAAGACAGATTGCATAGCCTCAGGATCTTGGGCCTGTTACTGTGTAAGTCTTAGTGTTTTTTTCATCTATAAAAGGTGAGAACATTACATTAGATAATTTTAAGGTTATTTCCGGCCCTAAGAATGTGTAGTTTTCCCTTTTTTCACCTGTGTGTGTTGTTTGTTTTGTATGTGATAAAATTGATTACATTATGAAGCTTCTTGGGACTGTTTGAGATTGAATCACAGTTCAGTAAATCAGGTTGACGGGCTTTGCACAGAGGACTTGTTTTCCCTTTGTTGATTTGATATTCCACATCATTGACTGCTTGATTGTTTCAAGAACATATGAAACATATCGTACTTTTTTATTTAAAAGGCAGAGAGACATGGAGAGCCAGAGAGCGCTCCCATCCACTATTCCCCATATGCTTGTGAGACCTAGGACTGGGCCAGGCCAAAGATAGGAGACTGGACCCCAGTCTAAGTCTTCCATGTGTGTGGCTTACCACTTGAGCCATTACCTGCTGCTTCCCAGGGTGTGCATTAGCAAGAAACTGGAAGCGGAACTGGGATCCAAACCCAGGTTCTCCAATAGTGACCTCTAGGCCAAATGCCTGGCCTGCATTGCTTTTTTTGAAGCATGTCTCCTAAAAACTTCTTAAGAGCTGCAGGTATTCATTGTGTTGTTGTTCATTTGATTATTTTCTGTTCCAGAAAATTAACTTTGGGGTATACTATAAATAACCAGGCATTGTATATTTTCCTTCTCATTTCTATTTGTTTATAAGCTTTGTTCTACGTAAGAACTGTCTACCAGGACTTGGGTAGGGGTATTTTAAAGCCTGGTGGTGTATACTCTACTAGGCTCTTTGAGCTTACAGTATTCACCTGCAGTTAATGAAATGTGACTTTATAGCTGTAACTCTTAATCACCTTTTTCAGAAGCAGGAGTGATCTTTCTGGACAGTCATACATTCACTCATTTATGCTGTTGTTTATAGATAAGTAGTTCTGAGAAAGGCATGAGCATTTTAGGCATGACTGTGAGTGGGTTTCAGTTGATGCAGATGGGCAGCTTGGGGCTTATGAAAAGATTAAGGTGGAGAAAAGATTGAGGTACAGGGGAAGGCCTCAATTGAAAATTAGTATGTCCTCTTGGAACTGCAGATGATAATGAACCTATTGTCATCAGTAATTTGGTGTGATATGAACAAGTGCATTGCTTCTGAGAGGGCAAACCTTACCTTCATTCTGTCAGCATTTTCTGTTTTCTTTAAAATGTTCTATTTCTGGGAAAAAAAAAAAACAGACATCTTGAAAGAAAGCAAGACCTTTTTTTGTGAAGGAATTAGAGTCTTACTGCTTCCTTTGCCACACCCTTCATTGTCAGTGACCCTGCTGGTTGAGATTCCTTTTCCTGACTATAAATAAGAAAAGATTTCTCACACATGGGTGGTGGTGGTTGTAAGTCAATATGTGTGTATGAATCTGCATATAATTTATCTATCTGAACATTTTAAAGGCCTCTTAAATCTAATATGCCCAAAATTCAGTTTGTTGCAATAAATCAGCATTTTCTCCATAACCTTCATTTATTTATCATTAATTTATTTAGTTATTTGAAAGACAGACATGGGTTTCCTCTGCTGGTTCACTCCCCAGATGGCCACATTAGCCACTGGTAGACCAGGCCAAAGTCGGAGCTCAGAACTTAGCCCAGCTGGGGCCGGCGCCGTGGCTCACTTGGTTAATCCCTTGCCTGCAGCGCCAGCATCCCATTTAGGCACCGGGTTCTGGTCCCAGTTGCTCCTCTTCCATTCCAGCTCTCTGCTGTGGCCCGGGAGGGCAGTGGAGGATGGCCCAAGTGCTTGGGCGCCTGCACCTGCATGGGAGACCAGGAGGAAGCACCTGGCTCCTGGCTTTGTGCAGTGCTGGCTGTAGCGGCCATTTGGGGAGTGAACCAATGGAAGGAAGTCCTTTCTCTTTGTCTCTCTCTCTCTCTCTCACTGTCTAACTCTGCCTGTCCAAACAAAAAAAAGAACTCAGTCCAGCTGTCCCATGTCGGGTGCCAGACACACAAGTATTTCAGCCGTTACCTGCTGCCTCCCAAGGTGCTAGAACTGGGAGCAAAGCCAAAACTCAAAACCAGGCTCTCTGATATGGGGTGTTTGCATACCAAGCAGCACTGTCTTAACCATTGTGGATAGCTGTCACCTCCACAGCCTTCATTTCACCCACCATTCCTTTCTTTGGATATCCTTTATCACTTGTGTTCTGTCCACATTTATCCCACATTCCCAAATCATCTTACCAACTCCCTTTTTTCCCATCTGCCATATTCTAGCAAGGCCAACTCAAATATCTCATTTTTAGCCCATTATGTCCCATCATCCTACATAGAGGATGCCTATAAAGGCTTAAATTGAGCATAAATAAAACTTATAATAATTTTGAAATAAGTATCATATAATTGAAATATTTGGAATTGAAAAACTTGAGGCCGGCGCCGCGGCTCACTAGGCTAATCCTCCACCTAGCGGCACCGGCACACCGGGTTCTAGTCCCGGTTGGGGCGCCGGATTCTGTCCCGGTTGCCCCTCTTCCAGGCCAGCTCTCTGCTGTGGCCAGGGAGTGCAGTGGAGGATGGCCCGGATGCTTGGGCCCTGCACCCCATGGGAGACCAGGAAAAAGCACCTGGCTCCTGGCTCCTGCCATCGGATCAGCGCGGTGCGCCGGCCGCAGCGCGCCGGCCGCGGCGGCCATTGGAGGGTGAACCAACGGCAAAGGAAGACCTTTCTCTCTGTCTCTCTCTCTCACTGTCCACTCTGCCTGTCAAAAAACAAAAAACAAACAAAAAAAAAAACTTGAGATTCGACTGGGTTAAAGCAACTTTGCATTTGCAAAGTAGAAGTCAATCTTGTATTCTCCCAACAGTTTTGTGAAGATTATTTATATAAGCTAATGGCTTCTCTATGTTCCTCAAGGGCAGGGACATGGACTCATTCAGCAGTGTATCCCTATCTCTTATAATAAGTAATCAGTAAGTATTTATTTAATTGAATGAGTAAAGATCATATATCAAAGAACCCCTTAGACTAAAATGCCTGGAGAGCAATCTACATCTACAGCATTAGTATTCTGTTAGTATTCTACCATAGTGATAATTCAGATGTAGCTTCTAAGATGCAAAGGATTCTACTAGTTGCTCTACTTTAGTATCAGTGTTGTTCCACACTCTGCCCAGCATGGGCATAGGTGTTCATCACTACCTCATTCACATAATATTTTCAAGAATCCCCCACATGTTGATACATGTATATACTTTTTTCACTGTGCTGTCTTTAGAAGCCTAGAATTGAGTCACTAAGTGGATTATTAGGCTTGTGAGAAAAAGCAAGAGACTTATCGAAACTCGGGCTTCATTCTGCAGAGAAGGAAGAGAATTTTTTTACTCTTTTTATCGCAGGCAGTTATGGTAGTAGGTGTACACCTTCAGACAGTCTGGGGAATAGGCTTAGAAATATTTGGAATCTATCTCTTAAGTCTTGTCAGTCTCCTCCACTAAATCCAAAATTCTTCAGTGGAACCTCAAAACAAATTCCTGTTTCCCATGCCCTCATTCATTATCCGGTGATTTACACAGACACACACACACACACACACACACACACATTTTTCCCCAGGTTTTTTTTTTTTTATTGAGGTATAATGCCATTATAGTAAACTATTGATTTTAAGTTTTGAGTTTCCCCACCAAAAATGAGATACCTGCTTATATTACTTCTTTCATTGTATAATAATTTTTCCTTTTCAAGAACATTCTATAAATAAAATATCATATAAATGGAAGCTTCTATGTATATTATATCTGTTGTATATGTATATGCTTTCTTGGCTTCTTTCCTCATTGTGGTTTTGTTTTGTTTTTAAGATTCATTCCTATGGTCTCTTTCAGTGGCTTGTTACTTTTTGTTGTTGAGTCTATGAATATTGTGTTTATCCGTTCTCCTATTGATGGAATTTGGGTTTCTGAGTTGTTTTCCCCCTCTGGCCAAGGCAGTTCTCTTTCCCTTCTTTTTTCTAAACCAACAGCTGGTACTTAAAGTAATTGTGCTTATATATGATCTTGGGATTCATAATTTTGTGCTGGAGATGAGGAAGTTTAGCCAACATGGTCCACCCCAGATCCATGGAGTGCTGTCTTCATTCAGAAGTGTTCACACGAATAGTGCTAAATGCTTGTCTTCTGGCCTCTTTTTTTTTTCTGCCTTCTAAGTTATTCAAACCCAAAAAATTTGATACTGTTATAGATGAATATACTTGTAAGTACCCAGGATTTCTTTTTGGGGGCACCATAGTTCATTTTGTGGTTGATTCCATTTAGTGTTCCTAGCTTAACACTCACATCTCCTGAGCAACTTGAAAGAAATGGATTATGTAAGTCCATGTGATCTTTGGAACGTGAATAGTAGTTGTCTGGGCTTTAAAGGCAATGGGTACAGAGAACCATCTCTTCCCTGGAAGTGGGAACCACTGATGAGAGGGCTCCTTTGCAAAAGGCAGCTGTCTTTTCTTGGGCTAGGAGGGAAGGTCATGTCCCCAACCCCCTTCAAAAGAAAAATATGATCTTTTGTCTTGTATGCTGTACTATGACACCAAATATGAAACTCTCCTTAACTTCTGATCAGTGGCTCCACCATCATAAATACATATATAAATTTGAGTTTGGGAATATGTATGTTTTGGGGAGGGCAAAAAGGAAGAAGTTTTTAACTAGGGTAAATCACTTTATTCATCATGAGAATGCAGTCTTTTATTGAAAGATGCTTTGGGCCAAAGTTTCAAATGAGATAAAGATTAGAATGATTTTTCTTGTAATCAGTTAGTAGGTAGAATATATTGAATTATTTTTAGTACCTATATATGGCTTCTTGGTCAGAGAGCCAAATGATGAGAATAGCCAGAAAAGTGGTTACTGAACCAATTTGTTCCTGCTTCGTATTGAGAACCACTATTGGTTTGCTTTCTTTTCTTGTTCTCCCCAACTTGCATCTAGCAAATGAAGGGAGCATATTACTCCCACTTATTACATTATTCAGGTTGTTTGTCTTTGAAATTTACCAAGAGGCAGGTGTCTCTTTGGGTTGGAGCCTCACCTGCACTTGTTGGCTGTTAGAGGTGGTCGTCTGGATTTTTCCTGGTGAAGTAAGGCCAAGTTGGGATGGATAATTGGTATAAATAACAGAGTGCTGCCATGTTTCTAAGGAGGAACTTTATAGTCAAGAAAAGGTCTGTGGTCTTCCCTTTGTACAAAGTTCTTCCCTACAGTTTTCATTGAGGATGTTTGCAACATCCTACCCAAACCCTAGTCCTGGATATTTGATCTCTGAAGCCATTCGTGTTACCTCTCCATCCCTTTGCTTGTTCAACATTTTGCTGTCAGATATTCTTGTGCCTGGAGAATCTTTATTCACATTTTTTCTTTCTCGGAGATGAAGACTTAGTTTGTTGCCTTCTTTTCTCCCCCTACCTACTTCTCACTTCTGTCTGCTCCTTTTCTCCACACCCCCATTCCCTGCCCTAATCTATTCCAAGGGCCTATCTCCAAAATGCTCCATTTTTCTACTTAAGTCTTACTCTTTCCCAGGGTTTATCTTTGAGATATATTTTGTTCATTTCAGTATACAAGTGGCTTTCAAAATTTCATGGAAAAATCTCATGCTATGAAAAAGCTATGCACAGATTTCAGTTTTTTGGTACTTACATAAACTTAACTTTTAATTCCATATTTCTATGATCTAATTATGGATTTTTGAACAAAACTCGATTCTATTTCCTACTTTCCATAAGTTTAAACTTGGTACAAGAACATGGTAAGATATTTATGTGTTTCTTTCTTTAGCTCCTTTCTTTAAGCAAATGTTAAAAGTCTTTGAATTTATTTTTAATATTTTCTTGTGGGCAAATCTTCCAACAGTACTTAGCCTGAGAGAGGGTAATTTTTCTATTATGGTATATACAGATGCTGAGATTTTGAAAGCTTCTCTTTTTTCCCTTTCTGCTTTCAAGCCTCATCAAGCTAGGCAAGCAATCTTGAGAATGAACTTCGGCTTTTTGTTTTTCTCCAGTATGTACATCTAAAGGCTAATGTACTGTGGGCCATGCCTAACTGAGAAAGGCTTGGAGTAGCACTGTCCCTTTCCTCACTTTGGTCTCTTGCACTGCTATTGTGAATTTCTGTGTAACTCATTCTTTTCTCCCTTGACAGGGTTGTTGATACAGAGGAACGTATTCCTATTCCCCTCATGGATTACATCCTTAATGTGGTAAGATTCATTGTATGGCAAACTGAGTGAAGGGTGTGTGCTTTTCTGGAAAATGTGTGTGGTTATCAAAGGGTCTAATTATTTCCATATTTATATTTAGGCTCTTTTTAAAAATATATTTTATTTGAGAGGAAGAGAGACAGACAAACCTTCCATCTGCTTGTTTACTCTCCAAACGCTTGCAACAGACAGGGTTGGGCTAGTCAGAAGATTGACTCAATCCAGATCTCACACATGGGTGGTAGGGACTCAAGTACTTGAGCCATTATCTGCTGCTTCCCAGGGTGCACATTAGCATGAGGGTTGGTTGGAAGTTGAGGAGGCAGGACTTTAAGCAGCACTCTGTTGTGGGATGTGGGAGTCCCAGTGGGCTACTAAACTGAATTAAATGCCCACCCCCAGCTTGGGCTCTGTAAATGCAGAGGGGGAAATGTGCAGACCTTTTGTTTTTGTTCTGTGATGCTGGTTTGCCAAAGGCTAGCAGTCGTGCCTTCCTTTTTATTCCCAATTTTCTGTTCATTTTTACCATTCCCATTAGAATCCAAATAGGATGGAAGTGAGCTTTCCTACGCCAATCCAATATTTTCTGAATGTGTCCAGTATTTTTTTCCCATTACTTCCAATGTGGACTTTCCTTTTAACTTTATGAAAAATTCACAGGAAAAGGTGAAAAGTTTGTGTTTTCCCAAAATTGCATATCAATAAGGGACAGTCCACTTAGCACTTTTTCTTTGTTATTAAGCACTTCAGGACTTCCAGAGATGGTTTCTCTTGTGCCTATGTTTGGTTGCCCACATTTTTTTCCCTCGTACTCCTATAAACTGCTTCAGTTGGTTCAAATCACTCTTCCAGAGTTCCAGGTTTCCTTTGCATTAAAAAAAAAAGATTTATTTTCCTTTGGGGAGAAATGAACATATTATCATGCAAGAAGCACTAACTTATCATGTTAAGAAATTGGAAGAGAGGCTGTCGCTAATTCATAGTGAGGACCTGAGCAAGTCACTTGACTTCTCTGTGCCCTCAAATTATTTGATTGAAAAGGTAGTTTAGAAAGAACATGATTATTCTGTTTCCCAGGAATTTGTTAGAGTCTGTGTCATACACCTATCCCTGTTTGCCTGAGGTTTTGCTGTTCTATAACATCGTGATGTAACAACTACAATGCTACCTTTGTCCTTGCTCCAAGGTGGCCTTTTAGTTCCAAGTGTCAGGCTCTAACTTTTCTTAAAAAATTTTCATTACCTAGATGAAATTTGTGGAATCTATTCTGAGCAACAATACAACAGATGACCACTGCCAGGAATTTGTGAATCAGAAAGGACTCTTGCCTTTGGTTACCATTTTGGGTCTTCCCAATCTGCCCATTGACTTTCCCACATCTGCTGCCTGTCAGGCTGTTGCAGGTGTCTGCAAATCCATATTGGTAAGAAGCATTAGCCAAATATGTTCATTTCTTTGTAGAAATCAATTTTGTCATACTTCTGCATATATGTTTTTACTGTGGTCTCACCTACAGTTGAAAAATAATGACTAAATTTATATTATGTTATGAGTAAATTTTGTGACTAATATATATAGTGTGCCACATTATTTTTTATTGAGATGTCAAGATAATTTTTCTTTGTTCCTGAGTTTGGTATGTTGTTCTAAAATCATTTAGAGTTTATTGGAGAGAATAATATAGTATATATACAGGAAAGCTTTGTAGCTATGTTTTATTAGTGGGTTCTTTAAAATTTTTTATAGATACATATATTCTGGCATTTTTAGCCCTATATTTTTCCCTCTTTCATGTTTGATAGACACACAGATATATCCAAAATTATGTTGAAAAATGGAATGAAAGCTGCTTATTACGGTGGAAGAACCTTGAAATCCGTGCAAGTTTATTTATAATACACATTATTCTTGGACTTTTTGAAGACCCCTTGTATGCATGGATTTCAAAAATTTTTCATTCCCATTTTAAGGAACTTTTTTTCTTAATATTGGTTTATTTATTTTGGAAATCAGAATTAGAGAGAGAGAAATCTTCCATCCATTGATTCATTCCCCAGATGGCCACAACTGCCATGACTCAGCCAGGCTGAAGCCAGGGTCCTTGAGCTTCATCTGGGTCTCCCACATAAATGGCAGAACCCAAGTGCTTGGGCCGTTCTCCACTGCTTTTCCTAGGCCACTAGCAGGGAGCTGGATCAGAGTGGAGCAACTGAGACATGAACCAGCACTCATATGAGATGCTGGTGTCATAGGTTGTAGCTCTACCTGCTACGCCACAACATCAGCCCCTCAATGAACTTTTTTTTTAACTGACTTCATATATTATTTTTAACATAATTGACCTGTAGTTCACTGTTGAATTCTTCTGAAAATGAATGTCCTTTATCTTACTTTTCTTTACTGGTTTTAACTAACATAACATGAAATATGATATCTTAACCATTTTGAAGTGTACTGTTCAGTCACATTGTAGTGTAACCAAACTCCAGAACTTTATTCATGCAGCAAAACTGAAGCTATTCATTAAAAAACTACTACTCATTCTTCCCTCCTTCCCTTGGCAGCTGTCATTCAAATTTCTGTCTAGATTTGTCTACAGTCTACAGTATGGAGGCACTTCTTTCTCCTTTTGTGACTAAGTTATTTCACTAAACATAATTGTGTCCTCAAAGTACATTCATTTTGTAGCATGTGTTAGAATTTGCTCCCTTTGTGAAGCTGGATAATATTTCATTGTATGTATAAACCAGTTTATCCATTCATCTGTTTATATGGATACTTGGGTTGCTTCTACCTTTTGGTGATTGTGAATAGTACTGCTATGAACACCAGTGTCCACATATCTCTTCATCATCTTGCTTTTAATTCTGTGGGGTATATAACTAGAAGTTGGATAGTTGGATCATATGGTCAGTCTATGTTTAGTTTTTGAAGAGCTACCAGTCTGTTTTCCGTAGCAGCTTTATCATTTTACATTCCACCAGCAATGCATAAGGGTTCTAGTTTCTCCAAATTCTCACCAATGCTTATCTATTGATTTTTTTTTTTTTTACCAATAGGCGTCATAGTGGGTATGAAGTGACATCTTATTTTAATTTTGACCTGTGTTTTCCTAATAATTACTGATGTTTAGTATCTTTTCAGCCATGTTTTTATCTCTTGAGAAAGGTCTGTTCAAGTCCTTTACTCATTTTGAAACAGGCTTTTTTGATTGTTGAGTTTTAGGACTTCTTTATAAATTCTGGACATTAATCCTTTATCAGATGCATGATTTGCAAATATTTTTCTCATTGTATGGATTGCCTTTTCACCTTGATGGTGTTCTTTTGCACACAAAAGTTTTAATTTCATTGAAGTCCATTTATCTTTTTTTTTTCTTTTGTTGCCTGTGCTTTTGGTGTCATATTCAAGAAATCATTGCCAAATCCAGTGTCATGCAGCTTCACCCTATGGTTTTCTTCTAGGAGTTGATGATTTTAGCACTTAAATTTAGGTCTTCTGTCCATTTTGAGTGAGTTTTTTTCATATGGTGTAAGATAAGGATCAACTTAATTCTTTCACATGTGACTATCCAGTTTTCCCAATACAAGACTTCTTCATTTAATGGTCTTGGCACTTTTGTTGAAAATCATTTGACCATAGATTGGTGAAGTTTTACTTTTGGCTTCTCTATTCTATACCATTGGTCTATAAATCTGTCTTCATACCAGTACCACTGTTTGGATTACTATAATTTTGTGATAAGGTTGAAAATCAGGAAAAGGGAGGTCTCTAAGTTTTTTCCTCAGGGTTGTTTTGGCAATTTTGGGTCACTTGAGATTTCCTATGAATGTTTGGAAGGGGTTTTTCTATTTCTACAGAAAACAAATGATAAATTGTCATTGGGATTTTGACAGTGAATGCTATTAAATCTGAAACTTTTATTGGCTGATTTGTGTAGTTACAAGTGATTCTGAAAAAGATATGCAGTTCCATATTGACTTTGAAAGATGCATAATTGTGACATAGCTTTTCAGTGTTCTGTTTTATTTTGCTCTTTGCAAATATTGAGTTAGATGATATTCATAAGAGATAAATGGAAAAAAACTGATCCATCTTTATCCTACCTCTAGGAGACACTGTAGAGGTTGGAATAGGTTTAAAGTCATTGGAAAACACATCGTTTTTCCTTTCCTTAGATTGCAAGCCATGGTTATTTTACTGTTAGATATTTTCTCTGGTTGGAAAGAAATCAAAAGGACCGTATAATCCACGGGTTGTCTAGGTGGTGCCTATCCCAGAATTGTTTCTTAGGAAGAAAAGAACACTGTAGTAGCAGTTTACTTCCATGCTTTTGAACCTTTCTTATCATTGCTTCCTACTGAACAAAATTTGGAATTAATCTTAAAGCATAATCTTTGCTATAAAGATATTCCAGTTTGGCCATCATGAGCATTTAAGTATGATTGGCTCAAGAAATTTGAAAGTAGTGTGTTTCTGTAGAAAGAGGTGTTGAGGTACATCATACCTGGATCATACTGTAGTTCTACCATGTCAGTGGCCATGACCATGTCAGAAATTTGGGAGGCTTTAATAGTCACTTCCTTTGTGACTATTAAAGCTATAATGCATATGAAGTTCATTACTTATTAACATTTTAATTGTTATTCTTTTTTCAGACACTATCACATGAACCCAAAGTTCTTCAGGAAGGTCTCCTTCAGTTGGACTCAATCCTCTCCTCCTTGGAGCCCTTGCACCGCCCAATTGAATCCCCAGGGGGATCAGTGTTGTTGCGAGAGCTGGCTTGTGCTGGTAATGTTGCTGATGCTACCCTCTCGGCCCAGGCCACACCTCTGCTACATGCACTCACTGCTGCTCATGCCTACATTATGATGTTTGTTCATACTTGCAGAGTTGGACAGGTAAGAATAATCTTAGAGCAATGCATGTTCATTTAAAGCCAGTGAAATACTTAGAACATTGGCAGGTCACCCTGCTTAGAAGCAAACCTACCTGGGCTATAGCTGAAAGAACCATCCGATTTAGGCTGAGAGTTTTTGATTGTGTTTACCCTTCTAGTGGAAAATTTACATTTGTGCATCAAGTTGCTGTGTTACTCTCCCTTGTGACTATATCATTATTATATGAACTGCACTTTTTAGAGAATGAGAGAGATTGTTATATTATTGGGCATTAATTTATATAGTCAGTTACCCTTTTACCAGACAAATCTCCATCAGATGGTCATCTGGCTTCACTACTTTCTAATCTTTATTATAAGTGTATGTAGGCCTGATAATGGGTTATTGAAGGACATTTTGCCACATAACATTTAAATCAATAGTAATTAGATTACTAAAAATGTCCTTAATATCAGGGTCTGTGCCTACAATCTCTTCTTGTGATTCCAGAAAAAAGGCATCTTTGTGTAGGTGCTCAGAATTTTTCTGACTTCATTCCTCAGGCAACTGATACCGAAGATCAGTGGTATCATTGCTGAACAGGGCTGTTTTATGTGTGCTGTTGAGTAGGAGTGTATTCTCTGCCATCAGTGGGTTAGTCACATCAGAAATAAAAAGCATAACTTGTATACTGTTCAGAAAACTAGCATAACAAAGCCTCAGGGTTTATTTTTTTGTATTACTTTTTATTAAATGAAAATGAAACAGTATTCAATTTAAGAATTAAATGTAAATATTCCCTGAAGTAAAGAGGTTAGAGAGAAATAAGAAGGCCTCCCTCCCCCTCCACAGCAAAATAATTAATAAATAAATTGTTAATGAGGCTACAAAATTGTTTCTTTGATTCAGGAAAAAAGTTGTCACTAATGTTTACCTTTTGCTTTACAAAAAGGGATGAGGACAAAAGTTAAAGACAGTTTGTAAATATTGTAAGGGAATAATGTGTGGAAGTGTTATCTTAAATATGGACATTTTGGTGAAGAGAATAATTACGTTAGAATAGTAACAAAGGAATAATATAATCTTAAACCAGCTGAATGTTGATTTTTGTCAAAGGACATCTCAAACTTGAAATTCTTTCTGCTTTGGCTGCAGAGTGAAATTCGTTCCATTTCTGTAAACCAGTGGGGCTCTCAGTTGGGTCTGAGTGTTCTGAGCAAACTGAGCCAGTTATACTGTTCGCTAGTATGGGAAAGCACTGTTCTCCTCTCTCTCTGTACCCCAAACAGGTAAGAGAATGCTCATCATCCCTTTTTATTATCTGCTAGCTTTTCTGACAAAGAAATGAAGCTCAGTGAGCCCAGAGGGTTATTGTGCTCAGGGATGGCAGAGTATGGTAAAGAGTTCAGAAGTTTTTGTTGTGTTGTCCACTTACCAACCTATGGACTGCATCACAAATGAGCATCTTTGATTTGATGACTCATTGTAGCTGTGTCATGTCAGCATAGAAGGTGTTTAACATTGGGTCCAATTGTTAGCCATATACGAAGAATCGAAATGGTAAGTGTTACATTATGAATTGCAGATTTTTTATTACATTCAGCTCGTCTGCTGCAGGAGGGATAGTGTCAGCAAGTTATAAAATATGTCTAATATGAGGATATTTGATAAAGTTCATGGAAAATAGGATTTAAGTTTGTTTTTGTGCAAAAGTACTTATTTAAGATTTATTTATTTATTTATTTGAAAGTCAGAGTTGCAGGGGGAGACATCTTCCATCTACTGGTTCGTTCCCCAGATGGCTACAAAGTCTCTGGGGCTGGGCCAAGACAAAGCCAGGAGCTTCTTCTGGGTCTCCCACCTGGGTGACAGGTGCCCAAACATTTGTGCCATCTTCTGCTGCTTTCCCAGACCATTATCAGGGAGCTGGATTGAAAGTGGAGCAGCCGAGATGTGAACTGGTACCCATATGGGATGCCGGCGTCACAGGTGGTGGCTTTACCCACTGTGCCACAATGCCAGCACTGCAAAAATATTTTGAAATTTGTGCATACTTCAGAACGTTAATGGAAAACGTGTGTTAAGAAAAAAACTGCATGGATTTCAAAAATTTTTTTTGACACCAAAATAAATAAGTAAATGATAAGTGTTGGTTTTTCCTCACTGTTTATATCTTATTGATCTTATTGCAGCCTACCATCTGGTTGTGAATTTGGCCAGGCAGACATGCAGAAACTGGTTCCAAAGGATGAGAAGACAGGTACGGCCCAGGGCGGAAAAAAATCAGGTAACTCTAAGAAACTAAAATCTTACTTGTTCCCTTCAGTTCTGTTTCCCTGTTTTTATAGGTTTGTCATGAAAATGTCGCTAGCTCTGTTGTCCATAGTCCTTCAGTTTTCATCTTTTCATTGAATCATTACATATTACTATAAATAAACTATTTTAGTGTCTTTATAAAAACACATACACTTAATTTTAAAAATTAGAAAATGTAGAAAGAAAAATCACCCATATTTCCACCACCACAAAAACAGAGTTTGGAAGACTTTGCCTAATATCTTTCTCTGAGGTATTTGTGATGTCTTAGGTAAAATGCCTCATAGCTTTCTTGCTTCACTTAACATTAAGTGCCAAGTAAAGGTAAATGAAGTGACCATTCCCTGCCCTGTTAAGTTTCCAGTCCATTATTTTGAATAGTGAACATCTTTGTGGTTTTATGCAAATATAGATTGATTCCTAGAAATCACTGTATCAAAATATGGTGGAGTTTTAATTTTATTGTAAAATATCAAGACGTTTTGATGATATGTTGAAATAACAAAATTTTGGCCAACACCATGGCTCACTTGGCTAATCCTCTGCCTATGGCGCCGGCACCCCAGGTTCTAGTCCAGGTTGGGGTGCTGGGTACTAGTCCCGGTTGCTCCTCTTCCAGTCCAGCTCTCTGCTGTGGGCCGGGAGGGCAGTGGAGGATGGCCCAAGTGCTTGGGTCCCTGCACCCATATGGGAGACCAGGAGGAAGTACCCAGCTCCTGGCTTTGGATCGACGCAGCGCCAGCCATAGCGGCCATTAGGGGAGTGAACCAACAGAAGGAAGACCTTTCTCTCTGTCTCTCTCTTCACTGTCTATAACTCCCTCTCTGTCTCTCTCACTGTCTAACTCTGCCTGGCAAAAAAAAATTTTTTTATTATAGTATGCTAAAAAATTTATTATTTAAAACCTAAAGTGTTTCTTTTTACTTTTTTTTTTAAGATTTTATTTATTTGAGAGGTAGAGTTACAGACAGTGAGAGGGAGAGACAGTAAAAGGTCTTACATCCGTTGGTTCACTCCCCAGTTTGCTGCAACGGCCGGAGCTATGCCGATCCGAAGCCAGGAGCCAGGAGCTTCTTCCTGGTGCCCCATGTGGGTGCAGGGGCCCAAGCACCTGGGCCATCTTCTACTGCTTTCCCAGGCCATAGTAGAGAGCTGGATTGGAAGAGGAGCAGCCGGGACTAGAACCGGCGCCCATATGGAATGCTGGTGCCTCAGGCGGAGGATTAACCTACCACGCCACAGCGCTGGCCCCTCTTTTTACTTTTTAATGTGGCTGCTAGGAAAATTAAAATTATATGTGGATCACATTATATTTCTTTTAGATAGTGCTGGTTTAGAAAATTGCTTTTATGTTGTATCATAAAGCTCCAAATTGGAATAAGCCAAAATCATGAGCAATTTTTTGCCCTAATGCAACAAACCAAAAATTAGTAAAAAATAACTATTCCAGAACATTAAGCATAAAGCAGAAAATTTATTTAAGAGTCAGATGTCTTCATCTGCTGGTCCCCAAATGGCTGCATAGCTGAGACTGGGCCAGACTGAAGCCAGGGACCCGGAACTTAGTCTAGGTCTCCCACATGGGTGGCAATGGCCCCAGTACTTTGGCCATCTTCCTCTGCCTTCCCAGGTGCATTAGCAGGGAGCTGAATTGGAAGCAGAGCAGCTGGGACTCAACCACTGATATGTGATGTCTGCTTCAGAGTGTGCAGCTTAACCTGCCGTGGCACATGCTGACCCCTCCCCCCCACAAATATACCAAATTTAACTCAAAGAAATCAAGCAATTTACTAAGAACTGAGAATGGGATTAGATTCACTTGCAAAGAACTGACTCTCCTAAGAATCCAGATGTATTTTTTCCAGCAGCTTCTTGAACACTTTTTGCAAAGAGCACTTATTTTCTATTTGACTTTTAGAGTATTGAAATGAAAACCTGATAACTTCTTTCAGTTTGCATAAAGATTAATTTTTAATTCTTACAGCACACACATATAACAAAAAGTCATCCCATATTTGCATACAATATTCTTAAATACTAGGAGTAGAATTCTCCAGTGATAATCTGTAATGTCAAATTTGAGTTTGTCAATAAAATAGAAAATTATAGCAGAGCACCTGCGTTGAGAGCAACAGGCACTTTGTACACTGCAGTCCATGTGAATGGTACCCCAGGGGTTGTGCTGTACCTATGGCAGTCTCCCAGGGGAGCCCTTTGTTAAGACAGTTGATATGCTTTCATTTGAAGATGTCAACATTAGCTACTTAATACAGCTCCAAACAGAAAAGCATATCGGTACACTTTCTGGCTGTTTTAGTTTTTAAGAGTAACATATACCATAGGTAGCTCGTTCTTGAGATTCAGAACAAGGCACCAGGTAAGTGCTGGCTCTAGAAGGTCTTAATGTTTCTTTCTTGTATCTGCAGATGGAGAACAGGATGGAACAGCTGGAAGTATGGATGCTTCTACCCAGGGCTTATTGGAAGGCATTGGACTAGATGGTGACACATTGGCTCCCATGGAGACAGACGAACCTACTACTTCAGACTCGAAGGGCAAATCTAAAATCACACCAGCCATGGCTGCCAGAATCAAGCAAATCAAGCCTTTGTTGTCAGGTGAGTGATTTTCTTTTTTCTACTTCCATTTTTGGCTTTTCAGAGCCTCAGCCATTCCTCAAACTGAGTTGAAAATGCTATATACTTTGATTTCACAAAGTTTGAAATTTCTGTGAGTTGCTTTCAGGTGTACGTTGTTGAATGCCTATGATGTAACAGGCTCTGTAACTGCTAAGAATATAGAGTACAAGGGAATCTTCTTTCTGAGTGCTATGTCTACCCTCCCATCTTAATTCCTTCTCTTCAACTATTGCAAATGGCTTCTGCTCCTACCATTCCACTAATACTGAATCCACTGATTATGTTTCAGTTCCCTTCTCATCTGTCTGCAGTTGGACAGTTGCCCACCATTTCCTTCTAGAAGCACTTTACCCTTGTTTGTGTGTGTGTATGTATGTGTGTGTGTGTTAGTAAACTCTCCTAATTACCTGATTTGTTACTCTACTAGTATCCTCTTCGGTTTTCTCTTCTTTAAATTTTGCTGACAAGTGACATAGTCTGGTATATGTTTTATTAAAGTCACTGGCAGCTCCATGAATACTACATTGGCAGGACACAAGGATGCACACTGATTTGTATTTGCCATCTTTTACCCCTTAACATAATATCGATGGTTGGCCTATTTTGTATATTCCTTAGTAGTTGCCTCTTCCTGATGCTTTAAAGAAATGTGAAAGTCTAACTTCTGGGCATCTGGAGCCCTGCTGAAAAGCAGAAAGTGGCCTTTGCTATTTCCATTTTTTTATCTTAAATCTTAATGAATTTTACACTTAGTTGAATTTTGAAAGTTTACCAGCAGTATCCCCAAATTAAAGTAAAATTGACCATCTGAGATGATATCCATGTTTATCTCACCTTGCTTTGTTTCACAAAACTTTTTGATATGACCTTAGAGCATTCTAAGAGGGCTACTTTGCAGGCACAGTATATGCTTTTGATGTCTATTTCTCTGTGATCACTGCCATTTAGTTTTTTCTCTAGTCCTTGAACTACCTTTGAGCCACTTTGCTGTCTGTTTACCTGAAAGCCATAGTGAGAAAATACAAACCTAATGTTTGGATGTGTTTTTCCCATTGACTTGAATTCATTAGGTTTTCAGTGCCTTGGAATACCCACCTTCCAGCTAGATAGTACATGTATACGTGTAGCCCAGGATTAAGAAATCTTAATCTGAATGAAATAAGAAGAAGGACTCTTTCCTCTCTTGCTATGCTGTATGTCTCAGAGCTTACTAAGTTTTAAGCTTGAAATGTGACATGAGCTCCAGTAGAGCTTGTTTTTATACCATGGATTCATATGTGCATGTACATCCTTACAAGACATAATTTGATTCAGACTTAGCCCTTCTTGTCTCTATATCATGATGAAATAGTGTTTATTTGAAAAAATGCTCTGTAGCATTTCCGTTTGCTTTTTAGAACTACTAAATACTGTAGAACTGTAAAAGTACAGAAAAGTATTTTACAGAAAAGCAGAGAAACAATGTTTAGGCTTAATTTTCTTTCTCTTTATGCATTTTCTTTTTCTATGCTTGTATTTGTAGTCCAATTTTTGTTCAACAATAGAAGGGTACTTCCAGAAAATGTCATGGAAAATGGAATTAAAAATAAATTTATCTTAGTGCAGAAATAGTTGAAATCCATGCATGTGAATGGTCTTCAACAAATTCTTAGAAAGTGTTATGGAAAAAAACATGAATTTTTTGCACCAAAAACCTTATCTTTTCATTCCATTTTTCCATGAACATTTCAAAGTCCCCACATAAATTAAAAAACGTGTCCTGTAGAGATGAACATTTGAAGTGTATAATTTACCTAATTCTGTAAGTGAAATTTTTATGCTTTCTCTAGCATTTCCCCCCTTAAATCTTTCATATTGTGATCAGACAATATATAATGTATACCTCTGAATGCTTATTTGTTATTCACATTTGTTACATATGTTACCAACATACTTCTGTCTTCTCATAAAAAAGGAATTTGAACAAATTTCCTTTTTAGATTACCGTATGTGGAGACAAACTCAAATGTTTCCTAGGTATTCTTTGGGAGGAAGTGGTCATTCATAAGAAAGTATTAATGGTAATGTGTCTATTGTAATGAAACCCATTTTGAGAATACAGTCTTATTTGGACTTCTGGGTTCTAGCTTCATCCAGATTAGGCCGAGCACTTGCCGAGCTATTTGGACTCCTTGTTAAACTTTGTGTGGGGTCTCCTGTGCGCCAGAGACGGAGTCATCATGCCGCCAGCACGACTACAGCACCAACACCCGCTGCTCGATCAACAGCCTCAGCCCTCACTAAGCTACTGACAAAGGGTTTGTCTTGGCAGCCTCCACCATATACACCAACGCCCCGCTTCAGGTGAGGTTCTGCTGTAAGATGCAAGGACTAGAATGTTGCCATAAAAGCAGTGTAATTTGCTGAATGAACTGTTTGGTCCCTTACTAACTCCTGATGCATACCCCAAAGAAAGTGTGAAGTGCTTGTTTTATTTGTATCTAGTACAACATAGAAATGTCCAAGGCATTTGCAATCAGAATGCATTTCAGTAACCCTTTATTTTAATGACCTTTATTTTAATAACCCTTTGTTTTAAAGTTTTGTTAAATTTTACTCTTGGCTTTTACGTGAATTTTCCATTGCTTCTCTGTCTGCTTCTGAGAAGGTTGAATTTTTTTTTTTTTTTTCATTTTCCCTCATTCAGGCTGACATTCTTCATCTGTTCAGTTGGTTTCACATCCCCAATGCTGTTTGATGAGAGGAAGTATCCCTACCACCTAATGCTACAGAAATTTCTCTGCTCTGGAGGCCACAACGCTCTTTTTGAGTAAGGATCATTTGCTTCCAAGAGAAGCATTTTTTGGAGTTTGGTCTTTTCTTTGTGCCTTTCCAGCCCACAGCTTTCTAAGTCACCTATCTTTTGTCAGTAGGATACATATTGTTAATGTCCTTGGCATTGTAAACTTTTAGCGTGTTTGTCTGTTTTCCTTGGAGGTTGATATTTAGCTTGTCCTAGGGGTGTTTAAAAGGGTCTCTGCTTTTCCTTGTTGAACTTCTGGTTCACAGTATATATTTCTCTAATGGGCTTATCTTTTCTGTTTCCCTAAATACAGTAAGTTTTCTCATTTTCTTGGTCATAACATTGTAAACTGAGTTTCTCTCCTTTGGCAGGATGGGGACAGAGGTAAAGCTTTAAAAAGTAGAGTTAATAAATGGTGGACAGGAGTTGACACTGTGGCATACTAGGTTAAGCCTCTGCCTGTGGTGCCAGCATCCCCTGTAGGCGCTGGTTCAAGTCCTGGCTCCACTTCCAATTCAGCTGCCTGCTAATTCCTGGGAAAACAGTAGACGATGGTCCAAGTGCTTGGCCCCTGCACCCACGTGCCAGACCTGTGTGGAAGAAGCTTCAGATCATCCCAGCTCTGGCTATTGCAGCCATTTGGGGAGTGAAACAGCAGATGGAAGACCTCTTTGTCTGTCCCTTGCTCTGCCTCTCAAATTTTTTAAATGGTAGATTAGAAGTAATACCTCCTGGGAGGAAGGACATGTAGTACCAATATAGAGATTTCGGATCTTTTAAATGTATAACCACCTCCACCCCCAATCTCAAACACTAATATGCTAATTCCACATTTTCTCTTAATTGTGTTTTAGAACTTTCAACTGGGCTCTGTCCATGGGAGGCAAAGTCCCTGTTTCTGAGGGACTGGAGCATTCAGATTTACCTGATGGTACAGGAGAATTCCTAGATGCCTGGCTTATGCTAGTGGAGAAGATGGTGAATCCCACCACGGTGCTTGAATCTCCACATTCACTGCCTGCCAAATTGCCTGGAGGTGTCCAGAACTTTCCACAATTCAGTGCCCTGCGCTTTCTTGTGGTAACTCAGAAAGTGAGTATTTGGCACATAAAAGCAAGAAAAATTTCTCATGCTTACTAGGTAACTCCTATTTTGTTCTGTCCTCCTTGGTGAAATAACGTGATTGCTGAAGAACCATTGGATGGGGCTGTCTTACAGAAGGGAATACAGAGACCATTTGAGAATTCTGTAGTATAAACTTCAGATTGGTACTTCCATATTGAAGTATATGCCCTTTTTCTTTGTTTCTTTGGGGCCTCTCAGTGCTGACCTAGGATTTTTCTTGTTGACACTAACAGATTGTGGCAGGACTATTGCATAGGTCTTAAACTTATTCCTCTTGGGACTTTGAATTGAGACAAAATGATCTTCACAAACTTTTCAAATAACTTAACAGGCAGCCTTTACTTGCATCAAGAACCTGTGGAATCGGAAACCGCTGAAGGTGTATGGTGGGCGAATGGCTGAGTCCATGCTAGCTATTTTGTGCCATATCCTCCGTGGAGAACCTGTGATTCGAGAGAGACTGAGCAAAGAGAAGGAGGGATCTCGGGGAGAAGAAGATGCAGGGCAAGAAGAAGGTGGCTCCCGCAGGGAACCTCAAGTCAACCAGCAGCAGCTACAACAGGTAAGGTGCTGCTAGCCTGGCACTCCAGGCTCCAGACTTTGCACCTAAACCAATCCAATGCTTGTGAGTTTTCTAGGTTCATGTACCACTAAGTGCCCTGTCCTGTTAGCTAAGAGATAGATTTAAATTCACTCCCTCCTAGCAGTTTTTTTTTCTCCTAAGGAAAGCTGGGGTGTAGTCCCAGTGCTCTGCACAGGTACTAGATGTGTGTCCTCCTAAGCACATTAATTACTATTGGAAGTCTTAACAGTATTCTCAGTAGCCTGCTGCTTCCAGCTTCTTTGGAGGCGCTCTCAGTCCATTTTCTGTTGCTGATAGCACAGGACCTCATGCTGGGTCTAAGTTATAAAGAAAAGAGACTTATTTTTGGCTCATGGGTGTGGTTCAGTGTTGCATCTGGTGGTGATGGCATTTTTGCATGCAGAGTCCCAAGGCAGTACAGGGCATCAATGGTGAGAGGCCTAGACAAACTGTCTTATAGCAGACCCACTCTCAAGATAACCTGTTAATCCATTAGTTGCATGAATAGATGAGTCCATTATTCACCTCTTAAAGTCCCACCTCTTAATATCTAAAATTGGGATTTAAGTTTCAACAAGAGTTTTAAAGAAGACAAACCATAACAGGCAAATTTTGCTTGGCTATTATCTGGTTAACCTGTAAAGGTGGAGGGATGCTGTGGTCCAGCTTTATTCTCCAAGAGCAGTTTGAAACTTTAGTCAGTACAAAACCTTTTTTTCTATTTCCAAATAAATTTTTCATCCACATTGTAAAAATTGGAGACTAGAAGGGGGAAGGAAACAATACATAAGATCCTTCCTCTTCAGCCTCTGAGTGTTTCAGCATTTTGCTCTTGGAATTTTTATGTATGTGTGTTCTCTGTGTCTAGAGTGCTTTTCACATCTGTCTTCTATTACATGCGTGCATCATTTCTTTGAAAAAGTAATTAATACTCACTTTAGAAAACTCGAAAAACACAGCGATGTATTTTTTACAAGACATTCATAATGACTACCTTCACTCAAGGTCGTCATTGTCTTTCTTTCTAAGTCACTTGGTTCTGTGCCTGATTTTAATCTAATCAACATCAAACACTATGTAGAGCTGCACTGCCGTCATTAAGAGATGTTTTTGTTTGATGTTTTAAGGCTGTGGTGTATAAGTACCTTATGTGTACATCTCATGATTTTCTGCTTAGTAGTAGAATTCCTAGATCAGTTTTTCGGGCACATCTTCAATTACCAGTTTATTTTCTAGATCCTTTATGGTTTCAGTCTTTTAATTATAGTTAACCCTGTTAGTCACAATAACCTCTATCCTCCTCCCCCACTTTCTTAGAGAATGGAAATGAGAATCACCTTGACTTCCTTCCTCAGTAGCTTTAATGTTTCAATGCTGTGGAAGCACCAAACAGAAAGGGTTGTTCGTGTTACTAACTGCCTTGACTTATACATGCTTTCAGTTCCTATCTTGAAAAGAGTCCTTTCTTTCTAAAATGCATTTGAATTTTTCAGTTCATATGGTGCTGAACTCTTGCATTCTTTTTATAGCTCATGGACATGGGCTTCACAAGGGAACATGCCATGGAGGCCTTGTTGAATACCAGCACCATGGAGCAGGCCACAGAGTACCTTCTAACCCACCCTCCTCCAATCATGGGAGGAGTTGTTCGAGTGAGTTGGCTCAGGAGCTCTGATTTTCGAGGATATTGCTTTGGCTGCCGATATCCTTTTTTTTTTACCCTCATCCTTCCATCACTGATCTTTCTATAAGCTGCTTCTCATTTTCAAATACCTCCATGCCAATATTTTCTTTTTCATGGTAACTCTCAAATCTCCAGAATATACCTCGGCCATGCAAATTACTGGACTTGGTTTGCAGAATAACCCATAAGTCAAAAAGAAGTAGAAGAGGCACACTTTATTGAGATGGAGAATTAGGTGGTCACATTGAAGCCCCCCTTTCTGTGCTTAATTTTCATTCTGATTAATCCCCTCGGTTCTTGTAGTGACCAGGTAAGCCTAGTTGATTTTCTCTAGAGAAAGCAGCATGTTCCATCTCTAAAGTATCAGCACAAGATGTCTGATTCATTGTGAGTTGGGGAAGCCGCATTGGGTTTTTGTGTGGATGTATGTAGTTGCTGGATTTTTTTGTTGTCGTTCTGTAGGATCTCAGCATGTCCGAAGAGGACCAGATGATGAGAGCAATTGCCATGTCTCTGGGACAGGATATTCCAATGGATCAAAGGGCAGAGTCACCTGAGGTAACTAGGAAATGGAGTTCAAAAGGGCTTGGTACATTAATTAGTATTTCTATGAACATTAGGCTACCATGTAATTAGTGGTAGAATTAAAGTTTAAAGAAATAGGTGCAAGTACTCATTTGTCCCAACTATGCCATCCATCACTGAGCTACCCCACATTGACCTGAATCTTTAGGCGAAGCAGAAGAAGCATTAATCTTTATTTCCAGACTTCAAAATGTACTTGGTAGTGCCCATTAGGCCAAACTTGGTACCAGTCATTTTAATTTCATATACTGGCAGACAATAGAAGACAGTGTCTAAAAGTAATTTTGTGGGAGATGGTGTAGGATGCTGCAAATAAATTGTCAGGATTTTATGATATGAAGATTTACCCCCCTTCTGCCTTCCCTTAACCTGAGTATCTGCCCTCATATTCATTGCCACACCATGATGAAAGTATCAACTGCTTGAGAAGGTAGGGGGTATTCATATGGTGAGGTAAATCCATTCTGAAGGTCTCCCTCACTTTTCTTCCTCCACCTCTTCCGTATGCTATCACTCTTCCTTCCCTGCCTCCAGGAAGTTGCTTGCAGGAAGGAAGAAGAGGAACGGAAAGCCCGGGAAAAGCAAGAAGAAGAAGAAGCTAAGTGTCTGGAGAAATTTCAGGATGCTGACCCTCTGGAGCAAGATGAGCTCCATACTTTCACAGATACCATGTTACCAGGCTGTTTCCACCTTCTTGATGAGCTGCCAGACACAGTGTACCGGGTGTGTGATCTGATCATGACAGCAATCAAACGTAATGGAGCAGACTATCGGGACATGATTCTGAAACAAGTTGTCAATCAGGTAAGCTCTCAAGGGGCCGTAAGAAGAGGCTAAGTGAAGTGGTTTCCCTGCCATCTGTCAAAACCTGATTTCTGAAATAACATTATTTTTGAATTCTACTCCATATGGGTATAGTCTTGGGCTTATTTTGATCTGGTAGTCTAGTTCTTACTTGAATGTTTCTTGCAACAGTGAACTATGTCACAAAAAATATCTTCAGGAAAGAAAAACAGAGCTCTTTTTCTAGCCTCTTTTATAAATATATATATACACACACAAACAAATGTCTAAAACATGTCTTGCTTAAGTCAAGTTCAGCCCCATCCCATGGGTTAATGATAAATAAATGTTTTTTCCTCCTTTGTATCAATCCCTTCAATAAATAGATCCCCATCATGATGAGTACTTGTGGTATCTTTTTTAAGTCATGCTTTACCTCATGAAATCAATTTATTCATTAATTTATGCTAACTATGTAGAAGTAAAATCAAAAATTATCCAAAATGAGATAGCCAGTTAATGTTTTGGTTGTAATTTTCTTTTTTATTTGTTAATCTATTCATGTACTTAAATCATTGAAATCTTTTTTATATGGCTTTTGTTATTTATTTCTTTAATTGATGATAGTAAGAGTCCACATTTATGAGGTACAGTGTGATAATTTGATACTTGTGTACAATGTGATGATCAGATTAAGATGACTAGCAGTCTCCTCTCCTTTAACATTTGTCATTTCTTTGTGTTGGCAAGCTTTGAACAGGACTCTTCTAGTTCTTTATAAATAGAATGCTATTGTTTTGTTTTGTATAATTTTAAAACCTAGAAATGGAAAGAAATAAAAAAGGGAAATGCTTTGGGGTGGCATCAATATAAACATATAACTATAAAACATCTTTCACAGAAAGGTTTAGTATCTTTTTCATCTACATTAAGAACTTAAATGATCATAATAAAACTAAAGCTATGATATAAAAGAGCAATAATTTCAAATTAAAATTTAATGTATGCAAACAAAAACCATACTGACATTTCTAACATGCATGGTTTTTGTTTTTTGTGATAACTCTGGGGGAAATGAAAGATTGATAAAGTGTAAATCGGTAGAACATTTTGGGGGTTAACTATCTGCACCAGGGATTCTTAAAATATGAATTGCCTAGGTCTTGTTCTGTGCAGCTGGTTACATTGTCACCTGTGAGGCCGCATCCCACCTGAGCACCTGTTTGAGACCTGATTGCTCCACTTCCATTCCAGCTCCCTACTAATGTTCCTGGGAAAGCAGTGGAAAATGGCCTAAATCCTGGGCCCCTGCCACCTGCAGGAAGCTCCAGACTCCTGGCTTCAACCTGGCCCAATCCTGGCCACTGGGGCTATTTGCAGAGTGAACCAGCAAATTGTAGTCTTGTAGTCTAGCCCAAGAAAGTAGTCATTTGGTGATGTTCCTTTAGAACCATACATCTTTTGGTACAGACCCAAATCTGTAACATGTTACTGTTTATCTATCTCTCTTCAGTGAATGTGTTGGATTAGGAGCATCCTAATAGGTTGAAAATATTTTCACTACCATTTCCTGTCTGGGTCACTTTTTTGCTTCTGTAGGTGTGGGAAGCTGCGGATGTATTAATCAAAGCTGCTCTTCCACTGACAACAAGTGACACAAAAACTGTGTCAGAGTGGATCAGTCAGATGGCTACTCTGCCCCAGGCCTCCAATTTGGCTACTAGAATCTTGCTTTTAACATTGCTTTTTGAGGTAAGATTTGGATTCTTTTGAGCCCTATAATTAATTTATCAAAGAATTATCAAATACCAATTTTATGAGGCATTGAATTAGATGTGTGAGGCATATTTCATGAAGCTAAGTGAAAATGAGCACAATTAAGTACATACTACAGTATTCTGGGCTACATAAATTATATCAGCAATACTGTTTTGTGTGAGTTTGGGAATGGTGTATGTGTCACTTCTGGATAATGTGAGAAAGATTTCTCAGAACAAGTGCTAATTGATTGTATTGTGTCTTAAAGGATTATAAGGTGGCAGTTAGAAAGACAAGTATTCAAATTACTATCATAGTTTGGTCATGGAATATTTTTGCCCCTTTGAAGAAACCTAACTGGTGGCCACATAAAGGGCGGGGTGTGGAAATTGGAATTTGGTCAGCATTAAGGTGGAAGCGTCAAGTGGAATCAGGCTCCTCCTTTCCTTACCTGATGAGTCAGCTTACTTGAGGCAAGAGCATGACTGGAATAAGACATGATTCTTGTTCTAATCAACATAGGAGCTAAGAGGCAGTTGACCTTGGGTTATTCATTTGTAGCTCTTCATGTTTAATTTAAAACCGAACTTAATGAAATAAACTCCTTATAAGAAGGCCAAATGGTGTGCCTACTCTCCAGGGACTTTCCCTTTGTGCTAGATGTAATCATTCTTTTTATAGCACCTTATGCATAGATTAAATACTTGGGAAAGTTTCTTAAATAACTAACTTTTTTGGATATTCATTTCCAGTTACAGGTAACACATTAGTGTAGCCCCAGGAGTAGGAGCCATTAGTGTATTTATTCCATCTGCTTTTTAAGATTCTAAAACTTCTCTGCAAATTGGAGACTGCAAGTTCCACATGGTTAAGACTGCACAGCTAAGATCACAATGCCTGATGATATGAATATTTTCATATTAAACACATAGTAATGTGCCAGGCACTGTGTGGAGCGCATTGAATAACCTCATTAATCATCACATTACCCTGGAGATAAAAGTTTAATTCCCTCAGACCCATGAGAAAGCTAGAACCTAGAAAATTTTAAGTAACTCATTTCACATTACACAGCCAGTAAGTGGTAAGGTAGAATTCAAATCCAGCAAACTGTATTACTATTTACCTTCATGTTCTCCTACACCTTCTAAATTCTTGATACTGAGTAGAAGTTGCTAACCTGGTTTATTTTTTTTGCTTTGATTAATGATTCAGGAGCTGAAGCTGCCTTGTGCTTGGGTGGTTGAATCCAGTGGCATCCTTAATGTTCTGATCAAGCTCTTGGAAGTGGTTCAGCCTTGCTTACAGGCCGCCAAGGAGCAAAAGGAGATCCAGACCCCAAAGTGAGTGACTGTTTCCAGCCTGTTTGATTTTGTGTTGCTGTGGGACTTGACCCCTCAAGCTTAAGGTCTGTATCTCAGGCACTTTTCTGGCTCACATATGGGTCAAATCTGGATACTTTAAGTATTTTGAAAATTGTGAGGTGCTTAATGAAATAAAGATACATTCTGCCAATTTGCACATATTTCAGACTTTCCCAGAAGAAATCATTTTTTGTTTTTAGGTGGATCACCCCTGTGTTGCTCCTGATTGATTTCTATGAGAAGACAGCCATATCCTCAAAAAGGAGAGCGCAGATGACTAAGGTGTGTGATATATATATGGTTGGCAGGACAGTCTAGGTTTCTTGAGAAAAGAGCAGACTGTAAGAGAATATTAGAGGGCAGTGAAGAATGTAAAGGTCTCTGACCAAAGTATAAATTTCATTAGGGATCTTCAGAGCCACATTTCTGTTCTAAGTGGTGAGTTGGAGCTGCTGGCCCAGTGCGCCAAGCACTTACTCTGGAAGTCATTGTTAAAGGGATTTACGGTCTCTGGAAGAGGAGTGGCTCTCATGTTATGTGAAGCCCTGAGTGTGCAACAGTTCCTCCAAAGACAAGTGCTCCACAGAGAAAGAATATTACATGTGACATTACCTTACTACCTTCTTAGAAGGAGAGGTTTTGTTCCCGCAGATCGGAAATGAATGTTCCCTTTTTGGGGAAAAACCATTAGAAACAAAAGGAAAGTAGAAGATGGCAATACAAGGATGTAGATGGATTTTTGCTTAGATAGATCCTAAGGATTGTGAGGACTAATGTCAATGGAAACGCAGTTTTCAAAACTTGCTACATGTCCAGTATATTTCTTTTTCCTGGATTAGTTTTAGCAATGAACAGTGATGAAGTTACTATCACTGACAACCTTGAAGGAAATACCAAGGAGAAAATTTTTTTTGCTTTGATATTTAGTACCTACAGTCCAACAGCAACAACTGGCGCTGGTTTGATGATCGCTCTGGGCGTTGGTGTAGTTACAGCGCAAGCAACAACAGCACTATTGACTCTGCCTGGAAATCGGGAGAAACAAGTGTACGGTTTACCGCAGGCCGAAGAAGATACACTGTCCAGTTCACTACAATGGTGCAGGTATATGCTGATCAGAAGCTATAAACTATATTACAAATTGGGAAACATGCCTTTTGATTTTCTTTAGGAAACAACAGTCTTAGCAGGATTACCACTACTGAATTTGGCTTGGTTTTCAGGAAATTAAGTCTTCTTTTTTTTTTTTTTTTTTTAATTTTTTTTGAAAGATTTATTTGAATAATCAGAAGTTAGAGAAGAGAGAGAGGTCTTCCACCTGCTGTTTCACTACCCAAATGGCTGCAGCAGCTAGGGCTGGGCAAGATCAAAGCCAGGAGTCTCATCCCTGGTCTCCCACACGGATGGCAGTTGCCCAAGTATTTGGGCCATCTTCTGCTTTTCCAGGTGCTAAAATCAGCTAGGAGTTGAATCCGAAGTGGAGCAAGGGCCAGCTCTGTGGCACAGTTTTTTAATCCTCTGCCTGTGGTGCCGGCATCCCGTATGGGCACCAGTTCTAGTCACTGCTGCTCCTCTTCCAATCCAGCTCTGCTATGGCCTGGGAAAGCAGTAGAAGATGGCCCAAGTCCTTGGGCTCTGGCTTCGGATCAGCCCAGCTCCAACTGTTGTGGCCGTTTGAGGAGCCAACCAGCAGATGGAATACCTCTCTCTCCGTCTCTCCCTCTCTAACTCTACCTCTCAAATAAATAAATAAAATCTTTAAAAAAAAAAAGTGTATCAGCCAGAACTTGAACTGGTGCCCACGTGGATTGCTGGCATTGCAGGCAGCAGCTACTCACTACACCACAATGGTAGTCCCTAAGAACTGAGTCTTCTAAAGTTATTGATGAGACCAGAAATCTGTGCAGTTTGATACTATCCTTCCTGGAAATGAATTTTAAGTGTTCATTCCAGGGTTAGGGAGTTGATTAGGGCTGATCTTGCTCTGTTGGAAAGTTTAAAGTTCATTATAGGGCCTTGTATATACCAGTTTTCTTCCTGGGTTTTCTCTTCTATAGATGATGGGAATGGAACAGATTGCCAGGGTTTCTTCCTGTTACATCATTTTCCTGGGAAGTTCATACACACCCATGTGCACCTTTATAATTCCTTTTTTTGGGAGAGATATTTTTTTTTGTCTGCTTGAATTCCTAGGTTAATGAGGAAACAGGAAATCGACGCCCTGTGATGCTGACTCTCCTCAGGGTACCACGGCTGAATAAAAATTCAAAAAACAGCAATGGACAAGAACTAGAGAAGACGCTGGAAGAAAACAAAGAAATGGATATCAAACGCAAAGAAAATAAAGGCAATGGTATGGACTTTTAGTTTCAAGTTTTAAGGAATGTTTTAGTCTAGGGTGCCTTTGTGGCTTGCTCTGCCCTCTTCCATTGCAAGTGATTTCCTTTTTGGCAGATTGCTTGACAAAGTAAAGATACACAGTCTTCCCTTATGCCTTTTCATCTGGTCTTATAATCGGTGTGTAGTGTATTTTTCGTAATAGGACTCAAGTGCTTGGGGGATTCTTAGGAGGGAGAGGTATGGAAGGAAATGTCAAATCAAACTGCCTAAACTTTGATTTTTTTTTCTATTTGTAGATACCCCCTTGGCTCTAGAGAGTACAAACAGTGAAAAGGAGACAAGCCTGGAAGAAACAAAAATGGGGGAGATACTGATCCAGGGCCTGACAGAAGATATGGTGACTGTTTTAATCCGGGCCTGTGTGAGCATGTTGGGAGTCCCTGTGGATCCAGACACTTTGCATGCCACCCTTCGCCTCTGCCTGAGGCTCACCCGGGACCACAAATATGCCATGATGTTTGCAGAGCTGAAGAGTACCCGCATGATCTTGAATTTGACCCAGAGCTCAGGCTTTAATGGGTTTACTCCTCTGGTCACCCTTCTTTTAAGACACATCATTGAGGATCCCTGTACCCTCCGTCATACCATGGAAAAGGTGAGACATTTTGGTGTCATGCTGATTTAGATCTACATCATACCTTTGTTCTCCTCAGTCTTAAGCAAATAGACTTCTGCTTATGATACATAGCTAGATTTATATATATTCTCTACCCTATCCAGCAGAATTTCCCAACTGTGCAGAAACTTGCCTGGATATGGTTGATTATCTTGCTGAATGACATTAAAAGAAAGAACTGGAAAATTCATTTATATTCATATATATGAGTGTTTGTTTTTAATTTTTATAAAACTAAAAAAATTTCATTACTTATTTGAAAATCAGAGTCAGAGAGAGAGAGAGATCTTGCATCTGCTGGTTCACTCCCCACATGGCCGTAACAGCCGGGTCCAGGACAGGCTGAAGCCTGGAGCCAGGGGCTCCCACATGGGTGTAGGGACCTAAGCACTTGGCCATCCTCAGTTGTTTTCCCAGGCTCATTAACAGTGAGCTGGATCAGACGTGGAGCAGTCAGGTCTCGAACTGGCACCCATCTGAGATGCCAGCATCACAGGCAACAGTTTTACCCACCACACCACAACTGCAGCCCTAGAAAATTTATTTTCTACCATTAAAGTTACTATAGCAATAACTTTGATTTAGAAAATCTTCTCTAGTAATCTAGATTTTGTTAACCAAGCCAAAAACTGTTAGGAACTAGAATATCTAATTCTAAGTTTGTGTCTTAAAGATCATTCCTTTGAAGGAGTACTCACAGGTACTCATCCAAGAACCTGTTTTCCTTTATTTTTTTTAACATTTATTTATTTATTTATTTGAAAGAGTTGCAGAGAGGCAGAGAGAGAGAGAGAGACAGGTCTTCCATTCACTGATTCACTCCCCAAATGGCTGGCAAAGGCCAAGAGCTGGGCTGATCTGAAGCCAGGAGTTTCTTCTGGGTCTCCCCCATGGGTGCAGGGATCCAAGGAGTTGAGCTATCGTCCACTGCTTTCCTAAGCCATATCAGAGATCTTGTTCGGAAGTGGAGCAGCTGGGACTTGAACTGGTACACATATAGAATGCCAGCACTGCAGGTGGCGACTTTACCCTCTACGCCATAGCCCTGGCCCCGAACCTATTTTCAAAATATTGTATTTCAGGATTATAAAAGTGTAGTAAGGCTTTTTTACTTTATATGATCTGCCAGGTACTTAACAAATATTTTTTGAGCAGATCAGAAAACAGTTTATATGTTTTATAAAGCAATGGAAGAAAAGATAACAGTAATTACAAAAGAATAAAAATGTAACTTTTTTTAAGATTATTTGTTTGAAAGAGTTACAGAGAAAGAGAGACAAAGAATGAGCATCCATCCACTGGTTCATTCTCCGAATGGCCACAGTGGCCAAGGCTTCGCCAAGGTGATGCCAGGAGCTTCTTCCAGATCTCCCACATGGGTGCAGAGGCCCAAGCACTTGGGCCATCCTCTGCTGCTTTCCCAGGTGCCTTAGCAGGGAGCCAGATCAGAAGTGGAAAAGCTGGGACTTGAACTGCACCCATATGGGATGCAAAGATTTATTTTATTTGAAAGGCAGAGTTAAACAAAGAAGAGAGTTCAATCTTCTGTTTGCTGGTTCAGTCCCCAAATGGCCACAACAGCTGGGTCTGGACCAGGACAAAGCCAAGATCCTAGAGCTCCAACAGGGTCTCCTGTGTGGGTAAAAAGGGCCCAAGTACTTGGCCATCTTCCACTGCTTTTCCATGTGCATTAGCAGGGAGCTGGCTCAGAAGCTTAGCAGCTAGGATTCGAACCAGAGTTCATATGGGCTGGTTTCGCAGGTTGTAGCTTTAACCTACTGTGCCACAATGCTGGCACCTCCATCTCCTTTTGTTGCAGTGTTCTTTTCCACATATTTAAGTGATGTTGCAATATACATTTTTGTGCCTAAGATTGTTACTCTTAGAGATCCATAAAAATCAGATCAATAAGGATAACAAATTCTGTTTTACTTGCTTGCCAGAAAGGTGGTACCCATTTAGCTTTCCACATGTGTATGTCTATACGTCACAGACTCTGCAGTTCTGCCAGCCTGTTTTAATTTCATCTCACATGTGCCAAGTCACGTGAAGTAGAGCTGTGAAAGGCAGCATGTATAGTTATCTAGTGTCAGGAGACAGCCCATCAAGGAAGAAACAACTATGTACAGATAGAATGCAGACTTAAAACATTTTATTGTTTAAAATTTATCAAACTTAAAGATGCTAGAAGAAAATGTAAGTTCTTATTGCGTGAGGAAAAAAATTTTGAAACTTGAAGTGAATTGTATTTGGGAGTGTGGGGAACAAAGGGAGATCAAAGTTTCAATAGGTCACCTTGGCAAAATGTAAACATTTGATAATATCCATTGTAGGAACAGGTATAGAGAACCAGGCATACTCTTACTTTGATGGGTGTGGAGATTGTGGCAGCCACATTGGAGGACAATTTGGTACTGTCAGTTTAAAATACCCTTTGACCTAGAAATTCTGTGGCTAAGAATTCATCTGATTATTAACATCAAGTATGAGAGAGTTCGCTGTGGACTTGCTTATAATATCAAGGAACTAGAAGTCTCATGTACAGCAGTAGGGTTTTAGATAAATATGGTATCTTTATAGTGAGATTAAACTTTTCTATATTTAAAAAGTGAAAGTTTTTTTTTTTAAATTGCGACCAAAGTATGAAGATTACCGTGTGTGAATGAACATGGCTTATTTGGTAAGAAAAACATTAAGAGATTAAAAGATAATTTATCCATATGAACATAAAATTCACAAAGAAATAGATAATAGAAAACACAGCTGAATTATTTTCTTTGTACTTTCCTGTGTTTTCCATGAAGAACAAACAGCTCTAGTCCAAATAATTGATGGTTTGGAGGTAGGCTATAAATTATTTGTAAGTCATTTTTGTTTTTAAATTTTTTTCAAAGATTTATTTTATTTAGTTGAAAGACAGAGTTACAGAGAGAGGTAGAGACAGAGAGAGGTCTTCCATCCATTGGTTCACTCCCCAGATGGCCTCAACAGCCGGAGCTGCGCCGATCTGAAGCCAGGAGCTTCTTACGGGTCTCCCATGTGGATGCAGGGGCCCAAGGACATGAGCCATCTTCCACTGCTATCCCAGGCCGTAGCAGAGAGCTGGATCGGACTGCACTTGGATTTTTAGGAAGTAGTGTTTGGTCAGCACTGTTTCTCCCTCTCTCTACCAGGTTGTTCGCTCCGCAGCAACAAGTGGAGCAGGTAGCACTACCTCTGGTGTTGTATCCGGCAGCCTTGGCTCTCGAGAGATTAACTACATCCTTCGTGTCCTTGGGCCAGCTGCATGCCGCAATCCAGACATATTCACAGAAGTGGCCAACTGCTGTATCCGCATCGCCCTTCCAGCCCCTCGAGGCTCAGGAACTGGTGAGTTTGACTTGCTTCTGACCTTTGACACATTAAAGGCTGTGACCTGACGTAACTCCAGAGATTTTTCTATGAGGGTATGTATAACTTGGATATCCTTCTTAGGTAGATGTTGCAACATTGGCTGGTTAGTCCTCTTGGTAAGTTCAGGAGGTGCTTCAGCAGCTTTTCTGATTGCTGTCAGACAAATCAAGGACAATGTAGTCCTTGCCTTCAAAGAGCTCATCTTGACAGGGCAACAGGGCTTACCTACAGTTAATGATTTACAAATAAAATGGTAATTACAAGGCAAATGAATGTGACTTACTTGGCGCAGTGGGAAATATCATATGTGTATTTTTGCCAGGGATTTGACCTATATTTCATTATAAACAATTAGATAAATACAAACTGTGGGATGTTCTGAGACAGCTGGTGTATCTCTGATTTCTGGGCATTACATTAGTATTGTGGTTATATAGAAAAATAATCCTGATAGGAGGCGTGTGTCAGTGTATTTCAGGGCAGTCAAATGGTGATCCTAGTTGAAAATTATGGACATTTATTGAACTTTTAAGATTTTCTTTCTTTAGTTTTTTAGAGTATTGCTTTGTTTTGAACAACTACTTGGGAAGGTTACTAATTATTTTGGGAGCCCCAGCAATATGCTAGGCATTTCTCAGGTGTGCTTTTATTTGATCCTCAAAATAACCAAATTTCAAAAATGAGAAAATTGTGTTTTGTTGATATAACAAAACTGGATTTCAAAATCAATTTTCTCTATTTGGTATTGCTGTATTACATCCTATGGGATGTGGGAAAGGCAAGAACCAGATGTTCTAGTAGACTACTTCAACATTGATTGGTTGAAAGTAGCCCCCTGTTCCAAAGCTTTTGTATCATTTGAGCACCTTTCTGAGTCTTCCTTTATTAGTTACCGAGTTTAGGTACTGGTTCGCTATTGATTGATTTTTCTCTCATTTTGGCTTAGCATCAGATGATGAATTCGAGAATCTTAGAATTAAAGGTCCTAATGCTGTACAGCTGGTGAAGACAACTCCTTTGAAGCCCTCGTCTCTGCCTGTCATTCCTGATACTATCAAGGAAGTGATCTATGATATGCTAAATGCTCTGGCTGCTTATCATGCTCCAGAGGAAGGTATGTGGCTAGCCCACCTCTGGAGGATGGGCACTGGAGGATACATTACTTTCCCTGGGTCTTTTTAAGCAACTTGTGGCATAGAGTGCCCACACTTTGAGTCTCGAGTTGAGACACAAAGTACAAGTCTCTGAAGAAACTAATACTCCTGAAGCATGACAGATACCACCCAGGGTAGCGGTGAGGCACCTGACCTGTTCAGGTGGGACAGGTAGGAAAGTCTCCTAGAGTAGAGTAAGTTATTTCTGAAATGAGTCTTTAATGATGAGGATCAGGAGACTGTGGAAGTTTTGAATGAGAATGTCTCTATAAAGAGATTAAAGAAGTATTTAAAAGGAAATAGTACCATTTTATGAACAGATTGAAAATGAGGTACAGATTTTTTGTAGAGTGCTGCTTGTAAGCAGTGAGAATACCATGGCTGAACTGCTTGGAACCAAGGGTCCCATTCCATTCATGTCCTTGTGCATTTCCTTCAGGACATACTATTACGGCCAAAATTTGATGCATACTGCTTTGAATAAGTAAAGAAAATCCAAACCTGTTTTTCATTTAGATAGCACTCTGACCCATACAAAGAATTCCTTGCTTCGCTCACCACAGAAACTTGACCCCATATCATAATTCCCTCCTCCCCATAATAATTTAGCTGTAAAGCTGTAGCAGCCATGTATTGACCCTGTGTGAGCAGTAGTATCTTCTATGTTAATTCAAGCTTAATTGTTGACAGCTGAGGAAAACAAGGAGCCTGAAAGTCAAATTGCCTGTGATCAAAAGACTGGTTTGTGGGGCAGTGGGTTAAGCCACTGCCTGTGACAACTGCATCCCATATGAGTGTCAGTTCAAGTCCACTTGCCATGCAACTCTCTGCTAATGTACCTGGAAAGCAGCAGAAAATGACCCAAGTGCCTGGGCCCCTGTCACCCATATGTTAGACCCAGCTGGAGTTCCAGGCTCCTAGCTTTGGCCTGGCCCATTTGGGGAGTGAACCCAGCAAATAGGAGATCTTTTTCTCTCCCTCTCTCTGTAACTGCCTTTCAAATAAATAAATAATTTTAAAAAGTTTAAAAAGTGTCAGAATAAGACTATCAACTGCCTTCTTGGTTATATACAAGAGAGATTCAAAAAGATAATGGAAAATTGAATAAAGTTTATTTTGGTGGGGAGGATAATTTGGAATCCGTGCAAAGGGTTTATGCAAACAAAAAGTTCATGGAAAATGCATATTATGAGAATGCTATACACCACAGATGCTTGCCCTCATACATTCATGTATCATGTAATGTAATTAGAGTATACTGAAATCTAGATTGTATACTCTACTGCACTCTGGGGCTATGGGTGTATCATCACATGTGCAATCCATCATTGACCAAAACATCATCATGCAGTGTATTGCTCTACTTAGACTGCTCCTGAAAACTCAGTAATGTTACTTTGTAAACAGTTGTAGCAGCTTAAAGTGAAACTGACCAAGCTACCAGATAGGCATTAACATTCTACAATCACAGAAGAATTTTTATTTTTGTTTTTCCTGTTTTCTCCAGCTGACAAATCTGATGCTAAACCTGGAGCTATGACTCAGGAAGTTGGCCAGCTCCTGCAAGACATGGGCGATGATGTATACCAGCAATACCGGTCACTCACTCGTCAGACCAGTGACTTTGATGGACAGACAGGCTTTTCCATTAATGTAAGTCAGTTCCAACAGCCTTCCATCTTTCTTCTCCCATTCTAGTGCCTGTGTTTTCTCAGTATTTAGGGTTATGCCAGGGAAATTTCGACAGTATTAATTTGGATGTATCTGCAGATTATCTGCAGCCTAAAAAATGAAAATTAAATTGACGTCCCTGGGATTTCTTTTTGTCTCGTAGGGTTGGAAATGGTTCCTTAATTTATTTTTATCTTCCCTTTTCCCTGCTTTCCCAGTCACTACATTTATAATGATTGCTTCTCAAATGTTATGGTATAGAGGGGAAAGTGCTTACAAGGTCAGCCAGAGTGTTTGTAGCATTCCCAGCCAGTACCCAGGGAAGGAGTCCTGCCATTTGGGGACCACTGTCTTTGAAGTTCACGAGAGCTCAAGAGTTTTCTCCTTCCACAGAGTCAGGTTTTTGCTGCAGATGGTGCCGCCGCTGAGAATTCCACTTCTGGGGCCTCCCAAGTAGAAGGTAATGATTTTGTTCATCCCTCTAGGATTCTTCTTTCTTGGAAAGACAAATTCCAGAAATTGTGGGGCTTTAGCTGAGGGTAGGAGAATATATGTGTAATTGTCACATTTACTTGTCTAAGCGAACTTTCTCAGAAGTACATTCAGTGTTAAAGGGCCTCTCTTTATACTGAAGTTAGTGGGAATACAACTTAACTAACCCAGTAATGGTTGCTGTGGTTAACATCCCTCCATTGTACTCCAACCCCCTCATACTACTATTTTTTTAAAGATTTTATTTATTTGAAGGTCAAAAGTTACACAGAGAGGAGAGACAGAAGAGGAGATCTTCCATCATTAGTTCACTCCCCTGATGGCCTTAGTGGCTGGGGCTAAGTCAGACTGAAACCAGGAGCCAAGAGCTTCTGGGAGCAAGCCTGATGAGACCTTTCAAGAACTAATTCTTGGGTAGGACAGATATTTTAGTTATATTTTGCTGCATATACCAGTGCCTGAAGATAAATGAAAGACTAATAATTAGCAGAACATTGTTTTACTCATTTGTGAGGGCTTCCTGCTCGTATGTAGTTTGTAGTATGGATGGTAGCAATCTTGTTTAAGGGAAGCATTGGTGCCCACTATGTGGCAGACTGTATCAGTGAGGGAGATCTGCAACAGAGAGAGGAGAGCATTTAAAAGTGAAGTCATCATTTGAGCTGAACTGCATTCATAAGAAAGCACCAAGCAAACATAAGGGAAGGCAGAGAAGGGTGTACGTGCCAGGTTTGGATAATACTAGCACAATTATTTCCAGATCACAATGTAAGTGGAGGGATGCCTGAACAAAGGGGTGGTGCCTCCCTGTTACACTCTGTCTACATCCCACATCTGAAACCCAGGTGATCCTAGTTCTCTGTTCTTCCACTACAGTGTAAGGAGAGCATTGGTTTATACCAATGACCTTCCGGTATAGCAGAGGTAGTATTCTTTGCACCTAAGACTTGATTTTTCCCAGTATTTTGATGTGAAATGGAACAACTATTTGACTTTTCACAGCCGCTGCGACTCCAGAGGAGTCTCGAGATGGGAAGAAAGATAAAGAAGGGGACCGGGCCTCTGAGGAAGGCAAGCAGAAAGGCAAGGGCAGCAAACCTTTAATGCCTACCTCCACTATCCTTCGTCTTCTGGCAGAGTTGGTGAGATCCTATGTTGGTATTGCTACCCTGATTGCCAACTACAGCTACACTGTGGGCCAGTCTGAGCTGATCAAAGAGGTAATCTTTCCAACTTCTACTTAAGATGTTACACTTCCATCATTTGGGTACCTACTTTGTGTTGAAAACTCAGGCATGCTAAGTACTAACCCAAGGATGAGGGCAACAGAGGATTCCATGAAAGAGCTAGGTCTTTTCCCTTGATGATCCAACAGGCTTACCAAAATAAACAAGAATTTAGCGGTTTATCTTCCAGATGTGCTCACACATGTACAAAGATACCAGATGTAGTAGCAGTATTAGTAGGGAAAAATGAAGGACAAGCCTAAATGTCCAACAATAGAGCTGTGGGAAAAAATGAAGTCATATTTCCTATGTCCTGATACATGATTATCTTCAAGTTAGATTTTTCGAGTGAGTGGGCACTTTGAGAAATTATGTCATATCCCAATATATGTAAAAGGTGTACCCAAGGAAAGTGTTTTTGTTTTTTAAAGGGGACCTTGTTTTGTGGGTTATGTCATAATTTTATGGTTGTTAAGTGGCAAGCAGTCTGAGAATGAGAGGGGGCACTAGCGTGGCAGAATCTGAATCTGATTGCAGCTGTCTTAAAACTACTTTTACCTTAATCCAAGTTTAACGTGCATACAAAAATATACACGTCCTGAGTAGTCAATCTTTTTTTCCTGGATGTCCACTAGCCACAGTAAATAAAGCATTACAGACTCCCAGAAGCTGTTCCTTCTCAAAGTGGTTTTGTGTTTTATATAAATGGAGTCTTACAGCGTGTACACTTTTGTGTCTGGCCTCTTTTCCTTAACATATTCACAGGGATCGTTTTTGTGCTTGTATGATTTTTAATTTATCTTAACTGCTGTGTAGAATTCCATTGTGTGAATCCGCCATCATCTCTTTGTTCATTCTGTTACTGAATGGTTGGGTTTTCCATTTGGAGTTTTCACAAGTAGTGTTGCTGTGAACATTCTTAGGCATGTTTTGAGGTAGATATATAAGCACTTTGGTTGAGTGGTATATGCCTAGGATTAGAATCACTGGGCTCTAGAATGTGCATTTATTCAGCTTTAGCAGATGGTACAAAGTTTTTCAGTGATGTGTCAATTTATATTTTTATCAGCAGCATATTGGTGCTCTGGTTGTTTCACCACCTTACAATGCTTAGTATTTTTCATTTCACCCATTCTAGGAGGTTTAGAGTGGTAAATTATCCATTTCCCTGTTGACCATCTTTGCATGTCTTTATTGACCATTTCGATGTTCTCTTTTGGGAACTGTCTATTCAAATAATTTATTCTCGCTAGTCTGTTGAATTCTTTATATCTTCTGGATATAAGTCCTTTGTGACATGTAATATATTAAATGTATATACTAGTTTTTATGTTGGAGCTTTTATTCATTTGTGCCATCTGTATTTATAATAGTATTGTTTGTGGACTAAAACATTTAGTTACAGACTTATTAAGTATCTTACTTAATGTGTCCAGTACTATTGGTACTGGGTACTGATGGGTGGCTTAAAACACTATTGTAATCCTGGCCACACTGCAAGGTTGTTGGCATTGTCTCTTTAACAGAGGAGAAGAGGCTCAGAGAGGTAAGTCAGTTGCCTAATGCCACACAACCAAGTAACAGAAATAAAATTGAAACCCAACCTCCAGAGCTAAATTCTTCTCAGTTGCACTGCTTTCCCAAACTGCAGTGCTGTTTTCCAGTTTTCACATGGTATTGTTCATGTTTTTACTCCGACAACAACTTTATCTTTGTATTTTATTCACTACCAGGAAGTTGATCTTTATTTCTAATAGTATTAAGGTCACTTTATCCAGTTTCCCAGACTCTAGAATTTATCAGTACATTTTCTATATTGAAGTAAAATTCACATACAATTACACATACAATTTAAAAATCATTTTAAAGTGTATAAGAAAGTGGCATTTTGTACATTAAGAGTGTTATGAAACCATCACCTAATTCTGAAATGTTCAACGAATTTTGGTCCAAAATCTACAACAAAAGACCTTTGAGTTTCTGTAAAGATTAGAAGTTATCACAGCAGAAATCATGGAGAAACAGAAAAGTCTGACTTAATTTCCTTCCCTTGTTTTGGGACCTTTTTGCTATTTTAAGTAACCCTGCATTAATATTTCTGCATATCCTTGTCTGTGACTGTGCTGTCTCTCACTTGACCCTTTTTTTGGATAAGATTTATTTATTCATTCATTTATTTATTTATTTGAAAGGCAGAGCAACAAAGAAAGAGGGAGAGACAGACAGAGATCTTCCATCCACTGGTTCACTCCCCAAATGTCCGCAACAGCCAGGGCTGGGCCAGGCTGAAGCCAGGAGCCAGGAACTCCATCCTGGTCTCCCACGTGAGTGACAGGAGCCCAAATATTTGGGCCATCCTCCGCTGCCTTCCCAGGTGCACTAGCAGGGAGCTGGATCAGAAGCGGAGCAGCTGGGACCCAAACTGGCACTCTAATGCTGAATGCCAGTGTCACAAGCAGCAGCCCAATCCACTGTACCACAACGCCAGCCCCTCTCTCAATTCTTGCCAGTTTATAGCACAGGGTCCTGGTGTTGTAAGTGTCAGTAAATACTATAATTTAATTGAATTCTAAAGGGATTGTAGCATTCAAATTAGGGAATCAAGATTTAATTCCTAAGCCCTTGAATAAATTATTTGTATAAGCCACTTTTCTTTGGGCGTCAAGTTACCCATCTATCAGGTGGGTAACTCACTTGTCTTATTGTATTTTATAGGTTTGTTACGAATAGTTCTATTAAATACCATACATAAAAATGTCTTAAGAAATATCAAGTGACAACTACATGACAGTGTCTAGACTGTGTAGTAGGAAATGTATGGGATTTGGAAGCTTTATAAAGCTGCCAAAGAAGCTTTGTTGTAATGGGTTTGCTACTTACTTAGCTTGTACCTTTGAGCCTTGGTCTCCTCATCTATAAAATGGACCCAGTAATCACTGAATGGGTGACTACGAGGAAAAAGTATGTGTGTGTGTGCACCTTGTTGTTGTAGAATGTTGTGGCATAATTGTGCCTGTGAGTAAATGCCATGATTAATGACTTTTTAGGACTGCAGTGTGCTAGCTTTCGTGCTGGACCACCTCCTCCCGCATACTCAGAATGCAGAAGACAAGGACACACCTGCCCTGGCCCGCCTGTTCCTCGCAAGCCTCGCTGCTGCAGGGAGTGGCACAGATGCCCAAGTAGCCCTAGTGAATGAAGTGAAAGCAGCCCTTGGACGAGCACTGGCTATGGCTGAGAGTACCGAGAAACATGCCAGGTAAAACCCAACCCGTGCCTGACCCAGTGCTAATGACCAAGAGCTTCCCCTTACTGTATTCTTAGTCTATGGGTTTCTTGCACTTGAACAAGAGTTCTGGTCATGCTGGCCTTGTACACTTTCTCATCCTCTCAAATAGTTCTGGTGCTCCAGAATCCCCAGAGCACTGATCACTTGTGGGTAAACAATTTAGCAAGAACAAAGGACCATTTTTGTTGTATTTGCAGAGTCTTCAAGCAAGAAGTTAAGCAGGTTACTCAGCCTTATTTTTGTTATTTTTGTTATTGTTGAAGATTTATCTACCTATTTGAATGTCAGAGTTACAGTGAGGAGGAGAGACAGATCTTCCATCCACTGGTGCACTCCCCAAATGGCCGTAACAGCCAGGGCTAGGCCAGACTGAAGCCAGGAGTTTCTTCTAGGTCTCCCACGTGGGTGCAGAGGCCCAAACACTTGGGCCATCTTCTGCTGCTTTCCCAGGTGCATTAGCAGGGAGCTGGATGGGAAATGGAGCGGCCAGGACACAAACTGACACCCATATGGGATGTCATGTCACAGGTGGCAGCTTTACCTGCTACGCCACAATGCTAGCCCAAGCCTTATTTTTAAAATTATGTTTGTAGAATATGAAGAACACTTCCATCAAGGAGTGAGTTCTCTTCTGTGCAGATGTTACTTCCAGAAGGAAACACAAGAGGCACAGGAGGGTTGTCTGATGCTAGTTAATGAAGACAGGGTATAAAAATGGCATGTACTCACGTGATTGAGGTGTCACACTTGTCTCTTCAGGCTGCAGGCAGTGATGTGCATCATCAGTACTATCATGGAGTCCTGCCCCTCCACCTCCAGCTTCTACAGCAGTGCCACAGCCAAGACCCAGCACAATGGCATGAACAACATCATTCGACTCTTCCTGAAGAAGGGGCTGGTTAATGACCTGGCCAGAGTGCCTCACAGCCTAGACCTGTCCAGGTAAAGTCATACCCAGCCCCAGGCTTTTGCCCTCCCTTCATCTGTGCTGCTTCCATCTCTATTTGCCTGGTAAACCATGTGCCTCTGTGGTGTGGCTGAGAGAGGCCTGAGTTCTCTGTGCTGTGGCTTTTAGCAAGGCATTTGCCTGGTTTTGGGCCTTAGTTTTCTCATTTGTTGCAGACTCAAGACTTGGACTATGTCAGTGCTGTTTTTTCCCCCGAGCTTCGCACCCTTTGAAAATAATCCTTTATTACAAGATGAATATCTGTATATTATAAGAAATACAGATGAGCAAAAGAAATAGATGCCATATTTCACCTGGATGTCACTGTGACCTCATTGGATGTTTTCCAGTGTTTTTCTTTGCATACACAAATAACATTTTTGTTACTAAAATGATAATGTAATGTTAATGGAATTGTGTAACAGGGAAGTAGGGGTAGAGTTGTTTTAAGTTAATAGTCTGCCTTTCCAGTGACTAAGTTTTTGTCCCATCTAATGCCCAAATCCATATTCAGAATTTTTGCCCAAGCCAGAATCCGGTTAAGACTTGATTTACATATGATTTTGCCCTCTGAGTCTCTTATTTAGCATAGATTTCTAATTGTTTTCATCTTTCTTTTATTGCTGTTCATAACACTACCTTGTCCTAGTGACCAGGCCTGCTATCCTGTGGCATGTCTCACTTTCCATGTTTGGCCTGGTTGCTTCCTTGCAACACAGATTAGCATGTTCCTTTACTCCATTATTTACTGTAAATTTGTAATTAGGTCTCTAGGGGCTTATTGGAGCAGTGGTAACATTTTTGGCTAGAATGTCTATCTTTAGTGTTGTACATCTCGTGTTGTGTCCTAAGGAGACACATCTTTCAAACTTGGTATTAATAATCACAGTAAGAATGATCACAGAATTAAAGTGACAGTTGTCATCATACTATTGTATTTTTCTCCTTAGTAGAAAGTAATCTGTCTTCCTGCTTTGGTACTGTATAAATGTTTAGTTCTCAATCAGCCATGTACCTAGTTGATAGTCCTTCTTTGAGTCAGTTCATTTCTTTGGGGGTTATGAATGACTGCTTTCTAATTTCTCATTCCTTCTACATTATTAGGTGGTATTTTTCTGTGAGATAGCCCAAGAGGGAAAGTGATTATCCTGAAATACAGTTCCTACTAAAAAGGAAGGATAAAACCTTAATTATTTTTTCTTTTATTCCCAGTGTAGAGTCAAAAATAACATTTGATCACAACCTCCAATGCAGGCTTTTTTCTAGCTTTCTATTTTCTCAGTAGTACCAGGGTACTTCATAAAAGTTTGTAGACAAAATGGACTTAAAAGATAAATTTATTTCGATGTAAAAAAAAATTTGAGATAACCAGTCATCACCATTTTTCATGCTCAAGTGATAATGCCCCTGGCCTGTGGGACCCTTTCATGATTTTGTCTTTTTGGTACAAAACTATCCATTATTATATTAACAATAAGTGTACATGTTTGGGGGCTACACTGTGGCATTTCAGTACATGCATACAATATATATATAAAGATCAAACCACAGTGATGAAACCTTGACCCTTTGACTTGACTTCATGACTAGAAACTTGGGGCTCCTTTCTTGGATTTAGTCATATTGTGTATACTATATTGTTGTGAACTACAGCTCCACACTATGCTGTGTCACACTAGGAACTTATTTTTTCCATCTAACTCTAATTTGAAACCTGTTGTCCAAATTCCCTCTATGTTTAAAAATTTTAAACTCTGCATAAGGGTGAATACCATATGTCTGAATTAAGTAATGGTTAACGTTTGCTCTGTTATTTTATTTCCTCCCACCCTGTCTTTTCAGGAGCAGAGTCATTTGAAATTAGTTGCAAATAACATGATACTTAACTTCTAAATATGTAGTATGTGTCTCCTGAGAATAAATATTCCCTTATATAATGATTAGAATTGCATTATCATATCTAAGAAATTTACTATTTTCTCTGAGATCATATGCTGAATAGGTGAATGTTCTGTGACCTTGAGATGTTTTTTAAAAGATTTATTTTATTTATTTGAGAGACAGAGTTACAGAGAGAGGTAGAGATGGTTCACTTCACAAATGGCCACAATGGTCGGAGCTGAGCTCATCTGAACCCAGGAGCTTCTTATGGATCTCCCAGATGAGTGCAGGGGCTCAATGACTTGGGGCATCCTCCGCTGCTTTCCCAGGCACATTAACAGGGAGCTGGATCAGAAGCGGAGCAGCCAGGAGTAGAACTGGCACCCATATGGGACCTGGTGCTGCAGACTGGGGCTTTAACCTGCTGCACCACAGCAACGGTGCCAACCTGGAGATTTTTAATTCCTTGGGGTCTTTACCTTGTTTCTTTACGTTACTGCTTACAGCAATGATATTCTGATTGTCATGTTGATGTTTGTCAGCTGGCATTCTTTTGTACTGAAGGACTCCCTGTCCCCACTTTTGTATCCCTGTGGCTGTAGCTTCTTTTTATATTTAACGTGTTACAATCCATAACTGTAATTGTTCTTTTTGATAACTCAAATTGGGTCTGTAGTAACAATCCCATTTTTCCCCATTAATTTTTGCAAGCCTTCTGGCAAAAAAAAATACCTTATATTCTCATTCTAATGAGCCTTGCTTCCTTTTAGTGCAGGCTGGTATCAGAGACTACTGTCTGGGTGATGTGAGCATATGTATATAAAACAGCAGAGCCCCTCTGCTTTTAGTGGGAACCTGCTTGGCTTCACATACATTAGTGCACGTAGAAATTCTGCATGTGCAGGCTCCATGGCACTTACTGAACCATAGGAAGCCCTGAAGAGTATAATTTGAAATCCACAGATCTTAAAACCTTTACCCTATTCCTGGGAGCTCTTAAGATTTGGAGGTGTAATGCTGGTACATGGTTTGTTTACATGGCCTGAGTGTGTCTGAGATGTTTGCCTGCTTCCATGTCGTCATCCAGACTACATCCTGGCTTCCAGTCAAGAATTTATTCCTTGCATGCTTAGCACGGCCCCCATGAAACATAGCATTGACGTAATCCTTGCTTTTGGGAAGGGAAGACCTTTAGGCCAAATATATTCTTCTACATAGTAGGCCAAATATTCTTCTACATAGTAATTTTGGTGTTAGTTCTGTGGCCTCATGCTCCTTTCTCCTTTAATAGTTTCTGTTGTAGGAGCCTTAGTGGTACTTAGAGGATTGACCTCTGGTATTTCTGTGCTCAGTCCATCTCTTTATCTTCCTTTATCTCAGTCCCAATATGGCCAACACAGTCAACGCTGCTCTGAAGCCTTTGGAAACACTTTCTCGGATTGTGAACCAGCCCAGCAGCCTCTTCGGCAGCAAGAGTGCTTCTAACAAGAACAAGTCTGAGCAGGATGCCCAAGGAGCCTCCCAGGACTCCAATAGCAACCAGCAGGATCCAGGTAGGGAAATCAGAGCCAATGGCCTGGACAGCTGGAGGGGAGGGAGTATGTAGCTGCTTTACGGGCATGGAATCACAACTGTTCTGGCGTGGTATCGTTTCCCTGGGAACTTGCTGGCCTTCCAGAGATCTGTCATAGTGGCGTGGGAATCTGCCCCACAAAGAATGCCTTCAAATTGCAGCCTTGTTTGGCTATCCTCACACGTAGCCTTGTCTTTTCCTTTGTCACCCATTCGTTTATTCGCTGAGAATTTGTAAACTTGCCCAAGGAAGGGACCGTATTGTCTTCGCACTTGCCTCGTGGTGCCCAGCACATAGGCACCCTTTGATTATTTTGCTGGTTGGTTGACTGTTTCAGGCGAGCCTGGGGAAGCAGAAGTGCAGGAGGAGGATCATGATGTCACTCAGACAGAGGTGGCAGATGGGGATATCATGGATGGGGAGGCTGAAACCGACTCAGTGGTGATTGCTGGGCAGCCTGAGGTGCTCAGTTCACAAGAGATGCAGGTAGGGAGGCAGATCATCCAGCATTCCTCTGTTGCGGCGCTGAACCAAAACCCCCAGGTGGTGTGGGTGGGTGAGTACTTTAGATCTTTGCCTCAATGCTGTCTGCTTCGCAGAGGAACACAGATGATATGCTTAGTAGATGTTCAGTAAATGTGTTTGCATTGTATTAAAGGAGGGGTGGGGGCAGGGCCAGGCGCCATGTATATACTATGAAACAGTATGGATCCCAACCAGAAAATTTAGGCATGGTGAAATGTTGAAGTAGAAAGCTGGCCTGAGGCCTTTGGGCCCAGGGTCTTTGATTTATTCGGCTCTGGTCATTAATGGAAGCTCCTAAAACCACCTTATGCCTATAGCACCAGCTCTCACTAAGGCATTAAAATGTCAGTCTTCTAAAGACCTTAAAGAAAGTAGTGTAATTTATGGAGCTGGTAGCAAAGGGTAAGAAATGGAGCCTGCAGTCCTAAGCTGCTGGCTCTATGGAGATCTGCATGTATTTCTGGACAGTATAAAGACTAACCTGTTATCAGACAACTGGAATGGACCCATTTGAAGGACAGTCTGAGTGTGGATTGGCAGCACGTGGTAGTTTCTGTGCCATTAGCACCAAGTGTGTGGTTTTTATGTAACATCCTCTGTCACACATTATCCTAGAAATGTATGCTCACTTGCTGGCTTTTTTTAGGGTTTCAGTGCTAGCACAATGCTAGATTTGTGTGCATCCATATATATGTTCTATTTCTCTCCAGGTTGAGAATGAGCTGGAGGACCTGATAGATGAGTTGCTTGAGAGGGATGGCGGATCTGGGAACAGTACAATTATAGGTGAGAGCCCCAGAACTGAGTATAGCCTCTTCCTTTGCCTCAGTCTCTCTTGGGAGGACCCTTTTTCTCATCATCTGCTTGCTCAGCTCTGCCTAAGGGCTCATAGCCAGCCTAGATTGCTGCTTGTCTTGATGTTGACAGTCTTACAGATGAGAAATTCACAAGCCATCTCCAGACCTGTGGCAGGTCTGAAGCGTTGCCTGTGTGGGGGAGGTGGTGGGGGTGACCATCAGTATAGATGATACATCAGGCACATGAAAAGAGTGTATATTCATGGAGGCCTAGAGGAGGCTGTAGGGTGAGAAAGTGCTTTCCTTTCAGTTCTTCGACGAAGTATGGGGGCTTTCTGCCTCTGAGTCTCAGTAGTGTAAGAAGAGTGATCATTCCCTAAGAGCGGCCCTTTTTAAGTCTCAGAGGGAAACTGCAAAGGTACCCTACTGACACCTGGCTTCGAAGGGTATATGTGTTACTCGTTTTTATTTTATTGGTCAAGGAAATCAAAGGATAAATGGAAGTAGACATGTATTAAATTTTACAGAGCTTTTACACACCCACTGTCCTCTGTGGTTTCACGATGAGTGGGATTGACAGGACAGATGTGATCATCCCGTTTTTACAGATGAGGAAACTGAGACTCAGACAGGTAAAGTCAATGGCCAAGCTCATCTAGTTAGCTGACAGCAGAGAAGAATCCAGATCTTCTCCCTCATCAAAATAAATGAATAAATAAAATAGAAGAAAATAGAAGAAAAATTAAAAAAGAAAAAGAAAAAAATGGATATCTGCTAGATGTACATAGCTACTTTAGGCGCACCCAGTCTGGAAAGGGAAGTCCTCTGTTGTTCAGTGAAGGCTCTGCTCTGTAACCTTCAGTGAGCAGAAGTGGAGAGGATGAATCACAAGAGGACGTGCTGATGGATGAAGCTCCTTCCAACCTCAGCCAAGCTTCCACCTTGCAGGCCAACCGAGAAGGTGAGAGTGCCGAGGCCAGAAAGGCCTCCCTTCTTGCCCTGCACGTCTGACAGACACTACACTAGGGTTTTCCTGGAGGCAGCTGCCCACATGTGCAGAATAAGGAAGCATCTGTCTGCATGCGCTGACATACACCATCCACTTTATCCTCAGCCAGTGTTTCAAATAACATGTTACTACTGCTTGCCCAAAGTTTGTCACTTCTTACTTGGTTCGCTTTCTTCTCACCCACCTGCTGTCATCGCTCCAGATTCCCTCTTACCAACAGGATGCAGCCAATAGCAAAGTAGGGCTGGAAAGACAAGGGGGCACCAGCAGACTTGGCCAAGTCCCAGACCATGGCTCCTCAAGCACCACCCTATAGCCAGCCTCCATATTCAGCCACCCTGCTCAGCGTGTTGATGCATTGATTGGCGCTCTCAGGAAGTCGGGGCTGACTCAATAAGTCTGTGCATCACCCCACATCTGGTTCTTCCTCTCAGAGTCAGACACCCCATCGCCTTCCCACTCAGTCTGCCGGCCTGCAAGTAGTCTGTTTTCTAGCCACTCAGTGTAGTCCTCCAATGTGCTCCCTTTGTTTTAGATTCCATGAATATCCTGGACCCTGAGGATGAGGAGGAGCACACTCAGGAAGAGGACAGCAGTGGCAGTAACGAGGATGAGGATGATAGTCAGGATGAAGAGGAGGAGGAGGAGGAAGATGAGGAAGATGATCAGGTGAGGGGGGACTATGTTTGGGTTGGTTCAGATAATCTCTTCCATGAGCTACAAAAAACCAACAGTCTGGGTTGCTAGCTAGCTTCAGCGCCTCCCTCGTATGCACATGTGGCCATGACATCAGTCTTCAGAAAATCCTTACCTGCAGCAACTCTCCATCTCCTATTTTCCCTTAAGGAGGATGATGAAGGTGAAGAGGGAGATGAAGACGATGACGACGATGGCTCTGAGATGGAATTGGATGAGGATTACCCTGATATGAACGCTTCTCCCTTGGTCCGATTTGAACGCTTTGACCGGGAGGATGATCTCATCATTGAGTTTGACAACATGTTCTCCAGTGCTAGTAAGACACAGGGGCTCAGCTGGGTTTTATCTCTTGATTCTTATACCCTTCTCTAGGGTAAGCCAAAGAGTGAACCAAAGCAGCTATCAATCTGATACAAACAGCACTTCTTTTCCTATGCTAACTTCCTGGGGCAAGGGATATCTGAAAACATCTCGCTCAGTGGTGTGTGCTTACAAGAAAGAATAGTGAGAGACTGCTTCTGTTCTCTCCAACTCAGTAAACAGGCAACCATTTTAGAGCCTGAACAACTTGATGATTTGCTTGATTAAAAAAAAAAAATGTGAGACCAAGGCTGACTGCATCAGGCACCTGTGTGCTCGCTACAATGACAGGGCAATCACTAATCCTTATGACACTGAATCTTGAGGGTTTGGATGGACGCCTTTGTGCTTGGCATTGGGGAGTGGATTTGAACATTTTCACTCTGTTCATCAAGGATGCATCTTTTGCAGGCAGAGAGTGAATCTCTTCCTGCCTCCCCCATCAACGTCTAAGTTCCGTGTTAGCATCAAGTTAGAGTCAAGTTCTTAGGATCGAGCTGTCTTGATAGGGCAGGTCTTGACCTCAAGTCACAAACATAATACAGCAGGAAACACTGAACTGTTCTGGTCTGTTGTCTTGGCCAAGTAATATCTTACCTCTTTGAGCCTCAGTTTGTCACCTGTAAATGAAAGGTTGAAAAGAAAATGAAAGGGTTGGATTAGATCATTTATGGATTAACTTCTATGATTCTCATTGCATTTTTTGTGTGATTTTCTTTGGTCTTCCTGAGAGTTGAGCCTCTGTCCATTCAGCAAAGTGAACAAATATTTGAGGAGTGCCTACTGTGTCGTAGGTGCTAGGAATCTAGCGTTAAAAAGGAAAATAAGTCCTTGTCCCTCCCAGGAGCGTATGGTCTATTAGGAATTACGAGTAGCAGACATTACCCAAAGGTATGGTAAGAAAGCACAGAGTAAAGGGTTAACTAACCCAATCTGTACAATTCAGGCTTTACAGAGGAAGTGTCATCTTAGCCCCAGAACAGAGGAGAGGTTAAGAAAAGGGAGAGGAGTCTTGAAGGCAAAGGCAGCAGCATGCGTCTGAGGGGCCTAGAAGCATCACTGTGGCTGTAGTGTGCAGAATGGATTGGGAGAAGGAACTATTTATTAGGAGGCCGTTGCAGTATCTAGGTGAGAGATGATGGCATAAGCTATTGTAGTGTCAGTGATTGTACATTCGGTGTGGGAATGAGGGAGAAAGGACAAAGCTCAGGTTTCCGTGTGAGGAAGTAAGGCCCAGGTGACATGGTTCTGCTTAAACAACCATGAAGCAAATTTGTGGGCACTGATCCCTCTGCGTGTTATCCTTGCAGCAGACATCCCCCCATCCCCAGGAAATATCCCTACCACCCACCCATTGATGGTACGTCATGCAGACCACAGCTCCCTGACGCTGGGCAGCGGCTCCTCCACAACCCGCCTCACCCAGGGCATTGGACGCAGTCAGAGGACGCTGAGGCAGCTGACAGCCAACACAGGCCACACCATTCACGTTCACTATCCTGGAAATCGCCAGCCCAACCCTCCACTTATACTCCAGAGGTAAGTTACAAAGACCTGTTGAGTTCACGGGAGCTCTTAGAAATAAGACTCTTGCTGAACTTTGGCATTATCTGGACCTTGGGGGGAAATACAATCCATTGGTTAGTGCGCTTATCTGTGTGTGTGTGTGTGTGTCCGAGTCCTTCCATCCCTCCGTCCCTCCTTCCCCTCCTCATTCCCCCCTCCCACTCTCACGCACACACATACACACACAAACTGGGTATCTGCTCTATTTCTTCGTGGGTTCCTTGTGCAGCCTTTTGGAGAATTACGAATTACATGGCTTATTCTTTTGCTTAAAAGTCCAGGGCACACATTCAGCCATTATTAAGCACCTCATATGCAAAGTGCTTAACACTTTAGATACAGAGACAGGACAAGATCCCTATGCTTGCAGTTTAGCAGAAGAAACCATTCTTTAAGAAGTGAAACGAGGCGAATTCAAGTGTTGTAATTGTCGGTACACAGACTACAGAGAGGGTACATCAGAGGCATTATCCCCTAACACAGTGCCTGGCACGTGGAAGCTTATCAGCAGCACTCAGTCTGTGCAGGGACTATGGAATTAATATGCAACCTCAGCCCAAGTACAGTTCTCAAACAGGTATGTATGGTAGTCAAAAAAAAGTACCGTAAGTCTATTGTGCAGTTTAAGATTCATAATTATGCTATATAGTAGTAAAGGATGCAGAAAAAGGCTCTCACAGTAATAGGCTACAGGGCACCTACGGGCTTAACTGTGACCGTGGTATCCGGCATCGCCCCACAGGTTACTCGGTCCCTCAGCTGCTGCTGACATCCTACAGCTGAGCAGTAGCCTTCCCCTACAAAGCCGGGGCCGGGCCCGCCTCCTGGTGGGCAACGACGACGTCCACATCATCGCCAGGTCTGATGACGAACTACTGGATGACTTTTTCCATGACCAGAGCACAGCTACCAGCCAAGCAGGCAAGTTTACATAATGAAAGGGGGGCTCAGGTGTGTCAGATTCTGCCTGTTCCCTTCCAAGGAATAGAAGTATCTGCCATGGAGAGTCATCCTTTAATGGGAGCCAGAACTACTTGGTAATTAGTAAAGGGCAGCGGAAACTTGATTGTCTCTAGGTACCTGTTATGTGCCAGACCTTGGTGATAGACCTTGGGTCTTATTAGGCAAATAGCACGATTTTGGATCTCTTTCGCCTTTGTTCCCCTGCAGGAACCCTGTCCAGCATCCCCACAGCCTTGACCCGCTGGACAGAAGAGTGCAAAGTTCTTGATGCTGAGAGCATGCACGACTGCGTCTCAGGTGTGTGGCAGCTTGCTCATCAGGGCAAGTGAGCCTTCCAGGGCTAGTCCAAGTGTGTTGGAGGGTTGTCTCCCTTCTGTTCTGGCTGCAGGCTCTGCCTCTTAGCTTCCTCTCCAGCCCTGCCAGGGCAGTCTCTGATGATTGCTTCTTTGCTGCAGTGGTTAAAGTGCCCATTGTCAATCACCTGGAATTCCTGAGAGATGAGGAGCTAGAAGAAAGGAGGGAGAAACGCAGGAAACAGCTGGCTGAGGAGGAAACAAAAATAACTGACAAAGGCAAAGAAGATAAGGAGAACAGAGATCAGAGTGCACAGGTAATTGCCAAGGACTGGGAGGACTCAGCTTCGGCTGTCACTCCCCTTACCTTTCATTTGGTTTTGGCACACACGTGAACACCAAGAGTCACTGAAGAATCCTAGGACATTCACTTTGAAGTTGGGAAACTGTTCATTGCAAATTCACCCTACATTCACCTGGTTTCCTTTTCTAATTCAAACCCAGAGAGAAAATTATGTCTCAAGTGTCCCACTGGGAAAAGGCTAGAGCCAGGATCAGAGTGGCTTTTCACTCAGCAGTCACAGTGTATGGTCATTACCTTCTAGGACCACAGCTAGACCAGGAAAGTGAGTGACCTTGCTGTTAGTTACTCCCATTTTTCTCAGTGGACTGCCAGTGTGAGGAACCTGACCAAAATGGACCCCCCTCCCCCCAATTCCATCGGTTGAAAAAGCTTATCTTAGGAATCATATCAGAGAGAACGTTAATGCTCTAAACCCCATTGCCACATATCATATCATCACCATATGTATAAGGCTCGTATTTGTGAAGTCTCTAGCATGCTTTCAGTTTAGAAAGAAGTGCCTACCTTTTTCTACAAATTCTAAGACTTGCGAGAGTATAGCTTTAAAAATAGATTAGTAAAGTTGATGTAAATACAAAGAAATTAAGACTTCAAGTGATTGTATTATAGTGCACTCAGAAATTAGAGTATCAAATTAGGAAGTGTTCCATCAAAACAACCCTAATCTAACAAATATCTTTATATAGAACCTTGTCCTAATAAACAAAATCACATTTCTCAAAGACATGGGGAAAATCAGCCAAGCTAGCATATGACTGAAAAAGTTTGTATAAAAATTAATGCCAAGGAAAGAGATCGAGGTGAAACTAAGAAATTCTTGCTAGTCTCATGATCTTGCCCAGCCCTAGGATGGTTTCTGTTTCTTCCTCTCATTGTTCAGTTGTCCCTACTGGCAGTTTTCCCCTAACTCCAGGCCACTTTTGAACATGAGTATGTATAGAAAAAATGGATATATATTTGTATAGTGCAATACCATTCCATTTGGTCACTTGGCCAAAGTGTTTGCCATCAAGGCACTGAACTCCTAGATGGGTTAGATGAGGGATGGCAGCTGTCACTTGTGACCTTGGTCTGTCCCTTCTCTTTGCAGTGTGCTGCATCTAAAACAAGTGACTCCGCTGAACAGAACCTCTCAGGTAACTCACCCTCTCTCTCTCTCTTCTTGCCAACTGGTTGGTTCATTCTTTCTCCTGACCCTTCTGTATAGCTGGCCCATGGGGGCTGAAGATGGACACTGGTACTCTGTGGGATGAGGTAGTAGATTGTATAGTTTTAGGGTCATACCCCATCTTGGAGATAACTATACAGTCTACTGTCTTTCCCACGGTGGTACGCTTCTCTTCTGACTGGCTCAGTTCAGGGTTTTTTTGGTTTTGGTTTTGGTTTTTTGTTATGCTTTCGTGTGTGATAAGCTCATGTGTTCTATTGCTTTCCTGATTGGTTCTGGTGGCTGAAACTCAGCATATACAACTTGGAGGTGGCCAGTCCTTTGGTAACCACCGTGGTATGGCACATCACAAAAGCACCTGATGACAGTAGTGTTCAAATGCCAGTGCTCAATGGAAATGAACAAAATCAGGGAGGTTAGATGGGTTTTCCCTTTTACCATATTGAGAGATCATATCCTTCCTAATTCTTTGGCATTAAAAATATTTTCAGTAAATGGTACTGATGAGATATTTCATTTTTACATTGCTAAACTAAAAGGTAACTCCTACACGAGTCTCTATTTTGTTCTCTTTTTTTAATCATAATTAATTCAGCCTGTGGAATCTAAAAATCAACAAACATTGTCTTGGACAATCTGCTTTTGGGGAAGGTAGCTCTGTGGGCTGCATGTTAGGATTATATGCTTTGTATTCCTTCTTCTAGCTAATCTTTGCAATGGTCAGTAGCCATTTGGTGATTCTAACAACTGGTCAATGTGGTATCCTATGTCTCCGCAACCCCTATTTCCTCAGAACTTTCTTCTGCTTTTCTTTCCCTATGCCTTCTGTCTCCTTTGGCACTTGACTTGGGAAATGGTTGTGCCGAGGCCAACACAGTATTTGTAAAACAGTGAAGGAGAGTAGGTGTCCTGGTGCCCTTAATCTAGCGAAAGGTCTTGGAAAGGGTCTGCCACCGGGTAAAGTGGCGTTTTGCCTGCTTCCCTTGCTGGATGACTCTGCTCATGCCGGGGTGAGGTAGTAAGTTGTATTGTTGTGGGGTAGGGATTTTAGGCCCCAATAAGAAGATAACTATACAACTTACTACTTTCCCTGATGTGTGGCATGTTCACACTCTTGGCAGTGTTGCCTTGTAGACAAGATTATAGGTGTTCCCTGGATAATCAGTACTGGGAGAAAGGGGATGTGGAAGAGGACAGATGGTATTTAGGGTGTGGCAGATGCTACCATTATAAAGTGGCTTGGCGTTCATTAAGTGGGGAATGTAATTTGATTATTTTACCTTTGGACATGAACTCAAGCATTTTTCTATTCTTCAAATGACTTCATTTGTTCAGTATTAGAACACAAATGTACAGAGGGGGATAGAAAGTGTACTCTCAAAAATTTTGAGGGAAATTCTGGTGATTTCTTGCTCCAAACATATGAGCAAATGAAAGGATTGATAGACTTTTGGTAAATTTTCTGTTGGCCTAGAGAGATATTCAGCCTCATCCTATCTATATGGCCTGAAATCTTTCCCTTCCACCTGGAGCTCAGCAAAGATTTTATTCTTAGGATCCACAGAGAGTCAGATCTCTCATTCTTAGGACAAACTGTACTGTGCCTTACCCTTTGACCTGGGTATGCCTGAGCAACCAAAAGCTATTTGTTGGAGCGGTTGCTTGTGGGGGAGTGTTCTGCATCACTGACTAGGTGGAATATTCACCAAGCTACATGTGATGGTTGGGGTGGCTCCTCTGGTCATTGGCTGATTTCCGCTTAACCCCCGTTATTGTTCTTTCCGAGAAAGATGGAACTCCTATGCCTGACAGCTACCCAACTACACCATCTTCAGCTGATGCAGCTACATCTGAGGCCAAGGAGACCCTTGGCACTCTGCAGCCCTCACAGCAGCAACCAGCACTCCCACCCCCACCAGCCTTGGGACAGGCTCCTCGGGAGCTGCAGTCCCCAGCTGCAGAAGGGGGAGGCTCTACACAGCTATTGATGCCTGTAGAGTCAGAGGAATTGGGTCCCACAAGGCCAAGTGGAGAAGCAGAGACAACTCAGATGGAGTTATCCCCAGCTCCCACCATAAGTGAGTAGAATTTTGACTTTTTTAAAAAGATGTTTTATTTATTTGAAAGGCAGAAATACAGAAAGAAGGAGAGAGAGATTGAGAAATCTTCCATCCACTGATTCATTCCCCAAATGGCTGCAATGGCTGGAGCTGGGTCAGGTGGAAGCCAGGAGCTTCCTCCAGGTCTCCCATGTGGGTGCAGGGGCCCAAGTCCTTGGGCCGTCTTCTATTGCTTTCCCAGGTTATAGCAGAAAGCTGGATCGGAAGTAGAACAGCCAGAACTAGAACCAACACCCATATGGGATGCTGGCACTGCAAGCAGCAGCTTTACCTTCTAAGCCACAACACCGGCCCCATAATTTCAACATCATACTTGGGTCCCTGCCAACCACATGGGAAGCACAAATGGATTTCCAGGCTCCTGGCTTCAGCTTGGCCCGACCCTGGCTTTTGTGAGCACTAGGGAGTAAACCAGCAGGTGGAAGATTTTGTCTGTGTGTGTATGTGTATCTGTCTCCTCTCTTTCCTCCAAATCCCTCATTGTCACTCTGCATTTCAAATAAATAAATGAATAAGTCCTTAGGAAAATAAAGTAACAGATGAGCCAGAGTGGGGGGCAACAGACGAGCAGGGAATGAAGGCAGAGAAGTGACAAGTATGAGCTGACTGCCCCTAAGGAAGGAGCCCAGTAAAAGACCTTGTCTGTCATATTGCCCTGATTCCAGGCAGAGGGCTAACCTCTCCCTATGACTTCCTCCTAGCCTCTCTTTCCCCAGAGAGAGCTGAAGATTCGGATGCATTGACAGCTGTCAGCAGTCAACTGGAAGGCTCTCCCATGGACACCAGCAGCCTGGCCTCCTGTACCCTAGAGGAGGCTGTGGGTGACACCTCAGCAGCTGGCAATTCTGAGCAGCCCGCAGCAGGCAGCTCCACTCCTGGGGATGCCCCACCAGTTGGGGCAAATGTGCATGGCAGGGGTGATGGGTCAGGGGAACCTGCCCAACCTCCTGAGGACAGGTAAGCACTGTATGGGCAAGAAGAGGATAGCATGTGTTGTTAGCTAACACTCGTTACTCTGGGGAGACGAGCCTGGTTTCTCTGAGAAGGGCTGTTATAGGAGGGTTTTATAAATGGGAAGCCATAATGCCAAGAACAACCTGAGAATGATTTTCCTCAGCTCTCCCCCTGCATCCTCTGAGAGTTCTTCCACCAGAGATTCTGCCGTGGCCATATCTGGAGCAGATTCCCGAGGGATCCTAGAAGAGCCACTGCCTTCAACAAGCAGCGAAGAGGAAGATCCACTTGCAGGTGAGGTGTGCTCTGTGTGTGCATAGAGCTCCCTGGGATTCTCGCAGCTTCTAATAGACCTTGGCATGAAGTTCCATCCAGACAGAGGGGGCATGTATGCAGATGGAAAATGCATATTATGTAGAAACCCTATACAGAGTTCAGAAAACTTTTTGCACCGGAGTAAAGTTCAGATTCCACAAGCTTTTTGAAGTACCCTCGTATGTGGGAGAGGGACTGGCCATCGGGTATGTTGGTGTTGCGTAACAGACAAGCCCGGCTTTGGAGTCAGACTGATCTTAGTACATGCAAATGCCTTTGCTCTGCCCCTTCTACCTATATGATCTAGGGTTATCACTAAATTTCTCTGATCCTCCTTCATACTGAGAGGATGACAACATCTGCAGGGCAGAGTCCCTACGAAGTAACAGGATACAAAGAACGTAACAAGAGTTGTTCTGAGCCTAGGGAAGGTGGGTGGGTAGTGGACCTTCCATGTGTGTCCCTTGTCCTGTGTAAACAATGAAGAAGTACAAAGCTGATTTCCCCCAAGCAGTGACCTGGGTTTCTTTTCATCAAGTACATCTGGAGCATCGCATCAGTTGATGTGTGAGTCCTTTCACATCATGCATCCACCCCCCCTCCCCCGCCCCCAGGTATCAGTCTCCCCGAAGGTGTGGACCCCTCTTTTCTGGCTGCTCTGCCTGATGACATTCGTCGAGAAGTCCTACAGAACCAGCTGGGCATCCGTCCACCAACCCGGACTGCCCCTTCCACAAATAGCTCAGCTCCTGCAGTGGTGGGGAATCCTGGTGTGACTGAAGTGAGCCCCGAGTTCCTGGCCGCCCTGCCTCCGGCCATACAGGAAGAAGTATGTGAGCGGGAAGATGGTGGGCCAGGCTGTCTGGCAGGAGATAGGCTCCCACTGACTTCTTCTACTCCGTAGGTGTTGGCACAGCAGAGAGCTGAGCAGCAGCGACGGGAACTAGCACAGAATGCCAGCTCAGACACCCCCATGGACCCTGTCACCTTCATCCAGACTCTGCCCTCAGACCTACGCCGTAGTGTTCTAGAGGACATGGAGGATAGTGTGTTGGCCGTGATGCCACCTGACATTGCAGCTGAGGCTCAAGCCCTGAGACGAGAGCAGGAGGCCCGGCAACGGCAGCTCATGCATGAGCGTCTGTTTGGGCACAGCAGTACCTCTGCGCTCTCTGCCATTCTCCGAAGCCCGGGTACAGAGGGAGGCAAGTGGGAGGGCTCTGGAATGTCTAGCTTTGCCAGCTGAGTCTCTGTTTATTCCCCCTTTGCATTGCCTGGACCCAGCCTACCACCCTTCCCCAGACTCAGTTTCCTTTTTCTTTCCTTCCAGCTTTCACCAGTCGCCTTAGTGGTAACCGTGGGGTGCAGTATACTCGTCTTGCCGTGCAGAGAGGTGGCACCTTCCAAATGGGGGGTAGCAGCAGCCATAACAGGTAACTTGGTCCTTTTTTTCCATCTTACCCCACCACCTTCCAAGTCTGGTAGTCCAACTCCCTTAATTTTGCAGGTGGACGAACAAGAATCCTTACAGGGATACTGAATGACCTCTCTGAGGACATTACATTTAATGAGTTAGGGGAGGCAGATCTTTGGAGTATCCCTTCAGAAAGCTACACCTTTAAATTAGTCTACCTACCAAAGATGACACCACAAAGGCAAGCTGGCAGCGGGTACTAGTAGCGGTGGTTTTAACAAGAAGGACAACCACTTCCCTCCTGTGCAAATAAGAAAACCCCAAACTGCTTAGCTTGAGATTGTAGCGGGGGGGGGGGGGGGGGGCAGAGAAAGTTACTAATTAATGAGGTGGAAATAAAAATGCCAAAATGTGGAGGGAATGATTGGTTCCTATGAAGCAGGCAACCCCAGAGTGATCTTGAGTGGGCAGAAATGAAGCATTATTTCCTAGACACTATGCGTGCAGCCAGATTTTCCTAGTCAATGGATGATCCACATCTGGGCTAGAATCTTGTTCTCTACTCAGTTGTCGTATGACATAGAACAAGTCACTAAACCCATTGGAGCCTCTTATTCATCAGCTCATCAGTGGGTGATACTGCAGCCTTGTGAAGACAGAGACGTTATAAAGTGCTTGGTCCATTGTAGCAACTCAGCAGGGCAGCTGCTGTAGAAAGTCTCCCTGGAAGCCGGCGCCGCGGCTCACTAGGCTAAACCTCCGCCTAGCGGCGCCGGCACACCGGGTTCTAGTCCCGGTCGGGGCGCCGGCTTCTGTCCCGGTTGCCCCTCTTCCAGGCCAGCCCTCTGCTGTGGCCAGGGAGTGCAGTGGAGGATGGCCCAGGTGCTTGGGCCCTGCACCCCATGGGAGACCAGGAAAAGCACCTGGCTCCTGGCTCCTGCCATCGGATCAGCGCGGTGCGCTGGCCGCAGCGCGCTGGCCGCAGCGGCCATTGGAGGGTGAACCAACGGCAAAGGAAGACCTTTCTCTCTGTCTCTCTCTCTCACTGTCCACTCTGCCTGTCAAAAAAAAAAAAAAAAAGAAAGTCTCCCTGGAGGTATCCAGCTCATTCTCCTCCCCTGGGCTTGTGCCTAATCCCAGCGCTGTAGTGGAAGTGTTACCCAGAAACCATGTTCTGTTCCCAGGCCTTCCGGCAGTAATGTGGACACTCTCCTCCGCCTCCGAGGACGGCTCCTTCTAGACCATGAAGCCCTGTCTTGTCTCCTGGTCCTACTTTTTGTGGATGAGCCAAAGCTCAATACGAGCCGTCTCCACCGAGTACTGAGAAATCTCTGCTACCACGCTCAGACCCGCCACTGGGTCATCCGCAGCCTCTTGTCCATCTTGCAGCGTAGCAGTGAGAGTGAGCTATGCATTGAAACACCTAAGCTCTCCACAAGTGAGGAAAAAGGGAAAAAATCGAGCAAAAGCTGTGGGTCAAGCAGCCATGAGAACCGTCCCCTGGATCTGCTTCACAAAATGGAATCAAAGAGCTCCAACCAGCTTTCCTGGCTCTCAGTGTCCATGGACGCAGCCTTAGGCTGCAGGACTAATATATTCCAGATCCAGCGTTCAGGGGGCCGCAAACATACTGAGAAGCATGCAAGCAGTGGCTCCACTGTCCACATCCACCCCCAGGCTGCTCCTGTTGTCTGCAGACACGTTCTGGACACACTCATTCAGTTGGCCAAGGTGAGGAGCTTGATGGAAAGCAACTCCTGGGGAAGGAAGAGGGGTTGACAGCCTGAGTGAAATCTCCACATTAAGGTGGCTAGCAAGTCTTTCTCTCTGCTGTTTAAGTCTTGAGCCCCCATTTTCCTTCTGAGAAATTGTCTGATAAATTCATATGCTTTATCTCATTCAGCCATCAGCGCCTGTCTGCAGTCTGTACAGATAAAGAAGATATGGGATTCAGGACATGTGACTAGGAAGTGTTAGAGCTGGACCTAGAACTTAATTCTGATCCAGTCAGTGCTCTTCCAGTAATGGGCATTGCTACCATGTATTGAGAGCCTGCCTTGTGCGGGCCACTGCAGAATACGTCATCATCTTTAATCTCGACAACTTGGCAAGTCAGTGTAGTTTTCTCCCCATTTCATAAATGTAGAGGCCAAGGCTCAGAAAAGTTTGCCAATCAGTCTGTCTGTCCCTCTAGGCTACTTGGCTGTCTGTTGGATCACACTCCTGTGTGACATGTCCTTCTTATTAGCGAAGCGATCTAAAGGAGAGGAGTGGGAAACAGCTGTCTTTCCCAGTATGGAGACCTCTCTGAATCAAGCCTGTCCTTTTTCTGGCAGGTGTTTCCCAGCCACTTCACACAGCAGCGGACCAAAGAACCGAACTGTGAGAGCGATCGGGAGAAGGGCAGTAAGCAGGCCTGCAGCCCATGTTCCTCACAGACCACCAGCAGTGGCATTTGCACAGACTTCTGGGACTTGTTGGTAAAACTGGACAACATGAATGTCAGCCGGAAAGGCAAGAACTCCGTGAAGTCAGTGCCAGTGAGCGCTGGTGGTGAGGGGGAAACCTCCCCGTACAGCCTGGAGGCCTCTCCACTGGGGCAGCTCATGAACATGTTGTCACACCCCGTCATCCGCCGGAGCTCTCTCCTCACCGAGAAGCTCCTCAGACTCCTTTCGCTCATCTCAATTGCTCTCCCAGAAAACAAAGTATCAGAAGCACAGGCTAATTCTGGCAGCAGCGCTTCCTCCACCACTGCTGCCACCTCCACCACATCTACCACCACTACCACTGCCGCCTCCTCCACATCCACACCCGCTGCGACCACCCCTGTCACTTCTACTCCAGCCCTGGTTGCTGCCTCCGCTATTTCCACCATTGCCGTAGCTGCTTCAACCACAGTGACTACCCCCACGACTGCTACCACTACTGTTGCAAGTAAGTGTGCGTGGAGGCTGGGAGCTCCCACCTCTCCCTGCCCCCTCCCCACCCAGGTAGTTCTCCCAGAATGATAGCCATCAATCACCTTGGCTTCATGTTTGAGTGCAGAACGTGTTTCTTCTCACCCTTATCGGTTGCAGGTTTCTCTCTCTCTCTCCCCCCTCCCTCTCTGAGGACCAGCAGGAGTTCACTGACTGCGGCTTCCTGAGGCTAGGCACCAAAAGAGAAAGAGAAAGCAAGTCTCTTTCTTGAGGGAATGCCTAGCCTCTCCAACCTGTTCTCATAGGAGATAGCATAAGAGCAGGCAAGGTGTGGTGTGGTGTGAAGTCAGGGTAGTCAGACTAACCCAGGAGGTGTAGGAAGGGAGCCCTGCAGCAGATCAGTAAGAGGTAGCTAAAGACATACATGAGAGAGCATCCCAAGGCATTTAGATTTGGCTTTGCTGGGTGGGTTTTCACTTCCACCACCACTTTCCCATTTTGAAGCTCTAGACAGTTCAGTTCCTTGATCCTGCCACCCAAGTCTCCAGCCTGTGAGCTTCGTGGAGGTTTACCGTGTTCTCTTTCCTCAAAGCTTCTACTAAGGGCAGCAAATCTCCAGCGAAAGTGGGTGAGGGGGGCAGCGGCGGTGCAGACTTTAAGATGGTATCCTCAGGCCTCACCGAAAACCAGCTACAGCTCTCCGTGGAGGTGAGTCCAAGCTCTTCTGACCTGCCAAGGCTGGGGTGAAAGGCTCCACAGGGTGGGTCAAGATTGGGTTAGGATGGGGCTTAAACCTTCTCGTTTGTTTTCCCAGGTTTTGACATCCCACTCTTGTTCTGAAGAAGGCCTAGAAGATGCAGCCAATGTGTTACTGCAGCTCTCTCGTGGGGACCCTGGGACCCGGGACACGGTTCTCAAGCTGCTACTCAATGGAGCCCGCCATTTGGGTTACACCCTTTGTAAACAGATAGGTAATAGCAGGAGTAAAGCGTTGTGTCTTTGTGGAATCTTGCACTTTGAAGTGTCACCTCTTCGGGAAACCTTCCCCGAGTGCCCTACCCCCTGTAGCCTCTGTCAACACTAACACTGGATTATTGTCTATTTTCCTCTGTTCAGTTGCTCGAGAGCAACAGTGGGCTTCGGTCTACATCCCCAGTGCCTTGACATGAGCAGGTGATCCGTGCTTGGTGAAATGAGAAGAGAATGCTTGGGAACAGCATTGTCTCTCACCTTCTCCCTTCTGAGCACCCCTTAGCGCTCCCTGAGGAGGCTGCGGAGCAGAGCAGCTTCACCGCCTCCAAGATGTGTCTGTGCTACATTCAGGCTCAGGGCTTGTAGAATTAGAATGATACCCTCTGCTTCTGGGTGGTTCTGAGAGCGCAGAACTACAAAAGCACTCTTAGATTATCTAATTTACACCTTCTTCCTCCCTGTTGGACCAAGAAGAGTGCTAAAACCCAGAGTGATAGAGTGATTGGATCAAGGACTAGTGACAGATTCCCTTTAACTATGGTCTCTCTGCTCTTTCTCACCCCTATCCTAATCATAGGTCTCCCTAGATCTTGACTACCTACTTAGGGTTCTCTCTCTTTCCCACAAATGTCCCTGAAGACAAGGTGACAGGAAGAGTTGATTGGCCTGTTCTTGGTTGCCTGAGTTTTCCAGAAAGCACTTGGCCTCCAGCCTCTGACCTTTCTTTACTGCTACCATTTATTCAGCACCTGTGGTCCAGGCACTGTGTAGACATTCTGCTAAATCATTATCTCCTAATTCTTACAGCAGTCTTGGGAAGTTAGACAGTATTTATTCCCACAGGTAAGATACATAAGCAACCTGGGAGAAAAGAGTCAAGAAATTTGCCTCAGATCACCACAAAACTTCAGTCATTTCAGGAGATAGACAAGATTTAGACTGGGCCTTGCTGGGCTCCAGGTGGCTGGCCCATGAGCACATGTAATGAATTTATACCCAATTAGAATTCCGTCTCACTCTGGATCCTTTGGTGCTGAGCAGAGAGGTTAGCTGGGCTGGTTTCTTGGAAAGGTTAGGCTTTCGGCTGCTACACTAGCAAAGTCTGAACACTTACTGGCTCCTCTGCCTGCCCAGGTACCCTGCTAGCCGAGCTACGGGAATATAATCTGGAACAGCAACGGCGAGCCCAGTGTGAGACCCTCTCTCCTGATGGCCTGCCTGAGGAGCAGCCACAGACCACCAAGCTGAAAGGCAAAATGCAGAGCAGGTGGGTTGTGGCCACCCTTTCAACTGGGGGCTAGAGTCTGGGACATTCTGAGAAATGGATGGCTCTTTCCCAGTCTTTTTTTTTCCCCCTTTGGATGATTTTCCGATCTGTCCTATACATACTTGACCAATTTTTTTCTACCTCTCTCTACTTGTAAGATTTCTTCCTGAGGTTCTTTACCCCTCTGGTTGACACCAAAGAGCCCTGATTGCTCTGGGTGTCTGTTTTGACACTGTCAGTATACGCAAGCCACCTCTACACCATCTAGGTTTGACATGGCTGAGAATGTGGTAATTGTGGCATCCCAGAAGCGACCCTTGGGTGGCCGGGAGCTCCAGCTGCCTTCTATGTCCATGTTGACATCCAAGACATCTACCCAGAAGTTCTTCTTGAGGGTACTACAGGTCATCATCCAGCTTCGGGACGACACACGCCGAGCTAACAAGAAAGCCAAGCAGACAGGCAGGCTAGGTATGGAACTAGAGTGTCCAATTGAGGGGCAGGGTTGGTGGTGGAGAACCCAGAGTTCCTGGAAGGGCAGGACTTAATGCCCTGTCTCCTTCCTGTTTGACCTTTTCCAAAGGAAAACGGTGATCCTGGTGTTAAATGTTGATGGTTGTATTCTGTTTCTTATTCAAGCTATGTATACTTAGAAAATTGATTAGGGCAAGTGGGAATTAAGGGAGAACAGAAATATGACAGGAAATTGGGGATCAACTTTGTGCTGAATGAGACTTCACTCACTGGGTGCACCTCCTTTCTGGCTCCCTTGATCATTCCTAACTAAAAATGCTGCAGCCGTGTGGCCTCAGCCATGGCCTGCCAAACCCTGCCCCCCACACACACACCTTGTTGCTTCTGTCCCCATAGAACCCTCTCACATGCCACCATCCCTCTGCCCAGCACCATGCTCCCTGCCCTTATTTGTAATGGTAGATCTTAGTGTGTGATGATGAGTGTACTGAAGCCAAAAACTCAAACACACCTCAGCAAGGTGCCCTGTGGCAGCCCAGGAGCTAGGAGAGAGGATACTGGGCACTTTCGCCTTCTTACATTTTGTATCTTGCCTTCCTTTTTTCTTTCTCCCAGGTTCCTCCGGTTTAGGCTCAGCTAGCAGCATCCAGGCAGC